GTGACAGGGCAGATAGCCTTATCCCCGGCTTGAGAGGCCATTTGCCGTGCCTGTGTCACCGTTTACAGTCGCCGCCCCCACCAGTCGCATTAGAGAGGCCATCAAAGCACTGTCGGACTGCTATGTGACGGGTCGTTTGGTGATTCAGATCCATCTGCCGAATCTGATGCTGGACAAGTGTACGAGATACGAATACAGGGAGCCACAATTTCACGGCTGAGCGAGAATAAACTTTACAAGGGTCAACAGTCGCTGCCCAGAAAGGTAGGTGCAACCTCTCTCTCTCTCTCTCTCCTCTCTCTCTCTCTCTCTCTCTCTCCTCTCTCTCTCTCTCTCTCTCTTCTCTCTCTCTCTCTCTCTCTCTCTCTCTCTCTCTCTCTCTCTCTCTCTCTCTCTCTCTCTCTCTCTCTCTCTCTCTCTCTCTCTCTCTCTCTCTCTCTCTCTCTCTCTCCTCTCTCTCTCTCTCTTTTCGCTCTCTCTTCTCTCTCTCTCTCTCTCTCTCTCTCTCTCTCTCTCTCTCTCTCTCTCTCTCTCTTTCTCTCTCTCTCTCTCTCTCTCTCTCTCTCTCTCTCTCTCTCTCTCTCTCTCTCTCTCTCTCTCTCTCTCTCTCGCTCTCTCTCTCTCCAGAAATATGAACACTGTGGGTAACATTACAAAGCTTGGTTTATAGGTCAACCACATCATAGTGCAACGTGCCCACAAGTGTTTTCCCACAGCTGAACAGCGTACTGAACCACTGCTTTGGGCCAGAAACAGACAAGTTTCCCGAAATGAAGCAGAACTGATTCACTATTGTGGGTGGCCCGGAGAACGGTTGGTGTGAGCTGACCTTTCGCTTGTACGGTACAGCGCTCCGGAAATGTCAGAGCACAAGAATAGCCTGTGGGCGGGGCGAACAGCAACGGTCAGCGGTCAGAAATCTGTTTACCCGTCTGGGCTATATGAACCGCCGGGGAGGCGCCACCACAGATATGGCCCCCGCTGGGGACTACTGTATCATGATTAGATCACTCCCGTGTTTACCGTAAACGCGGCGAAAACAAACGACCCGGGTGTGCCGGCACGACCGAGAAATGTTTCATACATTGTTTTTTATCCGCGGTCAAATTTCCGTGGTGACAATTTGTTTTTATTACATAATGGCAGTTAAGAAAGAAAAAGTGCGGACGCTGAGGCTGCAGCGTACACAGAATGGCGTCATGTAATTTAGCTGACAATATCTGTTGACATTTGTGGGTGTCCGTCTCGGCGGCTGTAAAAATGGCGGCTTTGTGGCTGCCCCAGCCGCCGCATAAATACTCGGCTGGATTGTGGGGACAACAAAAGAAATGTGCCGTAATAACGGTTTATATGAGATATTTTACAGCCGTGCCAGTTCCACTTCGGCTGCCCTGAAGGCGGGCATGCCTCGGCGCTCGCGGACTCGTTATAAAGAGCGCACCCTCTTCTGTGGACGCTGCCGATACGTTTCTGTCGCGGTTCGAGGCTGCTGACCTTTAGCACAGTGTGTGTTTTGCGAAACAGCCTGTTCAGTCACTGGCAAGGCGCCGCCCGCACCGTTTGCCGAGCGAGTGGCGGCGGAAGAAGTGTATGGTGTCGCTGCGGAGGGGCGTGGTGTCACTGCAGCTTGGGCTTTTTTGGGCTTAATTGCTAGCTCCATTCATCCTATCCAGCGTGAGGGTAGTCACCACTCGAGGACCAGCCGTTGAAAGCAAGAAACCGACGAGGAGAAGGTCTTGTAAAAAGTCGCAGCGATTGCATTGAGCATTAAATGACGAAAATGTGTTTACCCCCCCCCCCCCCCACCGCCTCAGGCGATCACGTCCCGTCACCCACCTGGGTTATCCGTGGAGAGGGGTTCGTGGTGTAAGAGCAGAGTTGTCACTGCTGAAGAGAAGTGCCACTGCACTGCACTGATGAAATAACTGCAGAAGAGGCGTGGTGTCACTGCAGAGGAGGGGTATCCGCTCGATGCTAGTGATGATCGGGCTGACATAAGTGCATTACTGCTATTGCCAGACCTCTGAAAACCAACAACTGCTATAACCGTGATTGATAAGGATACTCGACGACCTCGCCGAATGCGTATGCATAGTTCAGTTATGTCCCGTAAATGCATCCGATCTTCATGCTCAATAGGTATTTTACTATCTAAACGTTGTGGAGTAGTTTCGATAAAACCTGTTTTAGACAAGCAGACAAGCAGTTTATACAGCTACGTCTTTTCTTTTTCTAAAAGGTTTATTTTCATCTTAAGAAAACATTTCCTCTACTAGTTGCCAACTTTCGCCGATGTCACTTTTAACACAATGACATTTTGTGCTGGAAGCATAGCTAACCGTTCTGAAGGAATAATTTTCACATTGATTAAATTACGTATAGTTAAACTCCGATGTGTGGAACTCGTAGCACGCAGTGGTATTTAATTCTGACCTTAACCCGCGAGTTGCTGGGGGGGCGTTAAACGCCCCCACTTTTTTCGCCGGGCCATAGCATAAAAACGGCGCGCCGCAGGCGCGCCAAATTTTGGGTACCTGTAGGAAATTGATTGAAGTTTATTGTGACAAAGTTTGAAAAAAATCGGTCGGAAAACTTTTGAGATATCGAGGTTTTAGTGACGTCATGATTTCTGACTTTTCGACCAAAAACGGCATATGTTCAAAAAATCATATAAAATCACAGAATAGACATAAAGACATGCCGTAAACGCCATTAGACTGCCAATACCATGATCAATCAAATGGCTCTCTTCGATTATTGATTATCGTTCCGCATTTTCCAAAATCTTGAACTGAATCTTGGCAGTTTTTCGTGACTACTTCACGATCATGATACATGAATTTCTTAAATTGAACTTTTTGAGTCAAACACGTACACATATGATAAAATGAATGTCACCATCGTGTTCTGCGCCCCAAATTACCTATAAAACATGTGTCACAGGCTGCGAATATCAGTTTTGATTTTCGGGGATATGTGCCTACCCGGTTGACCTGACCTTGACCCTGACCTATGCTTGACTGACCCCTATATGGAGCTGACACTCTTGTAGGCCTTATAAGATGGATTGTGCACCGTTTTGACAGAGTTTATGGCGAGAGGCGCCCATTGCGAAGTCCTGAAGTCCATGCTACTGAAAGCCCGATTTCAGGTGTTTGACCTGACCTTGACCCGACCTGTGACCTCAAAATTCAACTTTAAAGTACTCATCTGAAGCGTCTCGTCGCGCTCTTTCGTTTGCCGCCTCGTGCGTTTCGCTGCGCCTATTGGTTCTCGAGTTATCGGCTGGGGGCGTTTAACGCCCCCCCCCCCCCAGCAAACGGTGGGTGGCGAAATACCCCAGCAACTGCCGGGTTAAAGGAAAAGGGCCACCTTCGTGAAATATGAAGATATCGTTGTTTTTCATTTTGACGTTATCATTTTTCATTTTCTTTTTAAAACTGGTGCCAGAAGTGCACAATTCGCGAAAAAGTATTTAAAACTATTTAACATATTGGTACTATGTTGATACTCTCTACGGCACCTGCTGTATGATGGCATAGCCATGACGTCACACTCAAGCCAATCAGCGTTCAGAAGACAGACTCGTCGGATTGTGTCAGATAAGCTGATTGGTTAAAGCTGAGCTGGTTGGAGCTGATTGGTAAAAAAACCAAAGCCTCGCCGCGGGTGGCTGTATTGTCGGATAAGAACGCATTCCTGGGATAAGGACGCATTCCTGGCGTATTTTCTTTTAAAATTGCCGATAACTACGAATGGAGGCCGAAATCGGCCGTAAGGAGGTAGCCTCACAGGTTTTCGGACACGGGCTACAAGATGGCTATCTCAGTTTCAATCCCCATGTTAAAGGTGGCCCTTTTCCTTTAAGTCGGTGCTTTTATATAATTCATTATTATGCGTCGCCTGCAGGGACGCTCGCTCACTTTGTTCTGACGTCAGTCGGCTAACCAAGTGCCGTGGGTGTGTGATGTGATGAGCTGACGTCACTGTGTGTGATGTCGTGTATGGAGCGGACCCAGCGTTACCGAGGCGGTGCTCCATCTCGGCGCGGGCCGGCTGCCATCAGGGGCCATTTTCCGGGCGTTTAGGACGCGCTGAGCTCCTTATTAACTCTCAGCTGGTGCTACAGAGCGCCGTAAATTGTGGGACGGCCCGCTCGGGTTTGTCTGGCGCGGACGGTCAGCACGTCAGGGCCGTCGTCCCGGCCAGACAGGCCCGCTCAATGAGGAACGGGTATGCCGCGCCTGGCTGACAACGCGCCGGGCTCCAGGCTAGCCCGCATTGGCATGTTCTCACTCCTGTTGTGTCCTAGTTGCTGTCCTGACCTGTCCTGTGTGTCCTGTCTGACTGGTTTACAGTAATGTGATGGGCCTTTTTCTGGTCGCTTTGTTCCCGCCGACTTTATACCTTCAAAATGGATCATGTCCCTTTGACTGTCCGCTGCAATGCCGCTCCTCCCCTGTCTATTATGCCTATAGTAAGCTGTGCGTCTGCGCCCTGCTCTAACCGCGCGTAAAAGCGCCGTCCGCATCCGTTGTCAAGCTTTGTTTCCGCTGTCACGCTTGTTTTCCACATCCTTCCTACTTTCGATGGCTGATTGATTTGCAGCACGAGAAAACTCGAGTGGTTTGGCTCATATCGTGATATAAACACCCGTCTGGACTTCGTCTCTCACGGGCAAAAATACCAGCAATAGAAGCCGCCCGACACGCTACCAACTGCTGTTTCAAGCCGGCCTGCCAACATAATGCTGAAATACGAAGCATTCTCACTGTTGGGCGGCGCGCCGGGAGCGCGTTGTTTTGATTCGTCTGGCACATCCCCAGTCGACAGCGCGGCGGCGGGCCAGCATCAGAAGTTTATCTCCACTCTTCTGGTTCCCTCTGCCGCTGTCAAACACCCCTGATCGATGCCGTCGGCGGCGTGTCGAAATTGGCCATTTTGCGGGACTCGGGTGGCTGCAATTAGTTGGGGCCGGCCGCGGAGGGAGGGTGGCCGGTGGGGGAGGGCGGCAAACTTGGCACACGCGTCACGCTACCCGCCAGTGATGATCCAGTGGTGGCTGAGCCGCGGCGGAGCGCTGATGGTGCCAACTTTGCAGGCGGCGGGTGCGAGCCTCCTCCCGCAGGGGTTAGGAGGACGACGGTCGGTCGTAAGGCAGGCTGAGGCACGTCAGGGCCTGATGAGCCTCTCTGACCGGTTGCTGACAGAACTAATTAAACGTTGGCCGCGACTCACCATCCCTGAAAATATTTTCGCTCTGTCTGTTAGTTTATTTGATAAGTACGAACACTTGATGAGCACGAGCACGATGAGTACGAACCAAGTGCCGAAGGATACCTAACAAAATCTTCAGTTTTCATCTGTTTCCAACGACTTATCATCGATGTATTTTGTCACCACTCAAAGTAATTTGATTCGTCATTTGTTGCAGATGAAGAATACCATATCCGCTCCTGCGACTCTCAGAGGAAATGTTGCATGGAAGCATTGGAATCTGTTACCGTACTGTTACCGTAACGTTGCACGATGTTGTCCCACAGGTTCGAATGGGCCGAGGCTGTGAGGAGATTCAGCTCTACAGCACCTGGCAGCACCGACCCCAGGCGGCGCTGGCAGGACCACAGCTGACGGCTGTGTTCGTCGTGGCCTGCCTGCTGGGCATTGTGGGCGTGGCGGCCAGCGGTCTGATCTGGAGGTCAGTCAGAGCAGACAGTATACAGTAGATAGTAGACGGTACACAATAGCTATACAGACACATAGTTACAGACGCAGTGACAGACATTCAGACACATAAAATAGTAGGCAGTGAGATTCAGTACACGTAGATGCCTGTAGACATTCCCAGTGCTCACCTTCCAATAAAACACACATTTAAAGTTGAAAAATGCCCTGGTTTTTTGTAACTTTGATAAACTATGTAAAACGCTTTTTTTAGTTTTAGATGGCCATGCTCTGCTTCATTTTACAAGGTCTTCGGGGTGATAGCTTTCAACTTCACTCGCAATGTTTCGTGTTGACTTCACCTCAACTGCCAAATGATACGCAATTCTGATTTTGTTTTGATGAGAAGGCCGTAGGCGACAGGCATATTGTTGAAGTTCATCAATTATTTCTAGGCCGAAGAGCGACGCATGAACTAAGCAGACGTGCATTTGGATTTATTAATACGGATCAGTACGGATATAAGTACGGCTTTATTAATCATAATAAGCTGAATTAAGGCCGTTGGAGAATATCAATCCTCATCCCTCCCCACATGCACTCGCCTCTCACCACGCTCAGTTTGTCCATGCAGACCAGTAACGTCCTTCCCACTAAACCATGCATGCAGCTGCCGCTTCTCTCATCCCCACTAACCGTCCTCATCCCGGAGACCTTATGAACCGCAGCCGCTTCTCTCAGTGAGCGCCTGGGCGCTGGTCGCGGTGCTTTGGCCGACCGCCGTCTGCCTGTTTTGGTCTGGCTCTCCATCCCACCATCCATTTACGCGTGTAGTTTGCGTAATTTATGCGGGACTGCCAACTACTTGCAGGCTAACCCGGCGAGTAATGGGTTGATGAATTCACAAAGTGGTCCGTACCGGTCGGATTATGGAGGGCGTTGGTGATGCGGGGCCACTCGGTGACGGCGTCGAGTTGTCTATCTCATCTGACCTTCTGTGAAGGACGAGTACGACTAGACGCCGCCAGTAATTAGGTCAAACTTGGGGCACATCCTGCAAACTTATTACGATATAACTAACTTCTCTGCCTCCCTCGGCATTGTACGTGAAATGATCATACGGAATCTTATTAAATCATTACGCGGGCCGTATTTTTTAGTTGCATGATTCTGTCTTTTAACATGGATAGTCGTGGACTGCTTCAGTGTTGATTAAATTATTTGAGACTTTGCTAATTTCGACACTTGTGTAAGAAAAAGCAGACAACAGGATGAAAGTGGTAACAGCATTCAAGTGTCATGCTCTGTGAAGTTATTTATCGGCTGATTACACAGCCCATGGTCACAATATCACCATTCAGTGGTCCGTCCAGCGCTGGCCAGTAGTGCTACCAACGTAAACCAGTGCAATGGTGCAACCAGCGTCGGCCAGCGTTGTAGTCCACACCAGTCAGAGCTTTGACAATCGTCAGTCAGAGAGCTTTGACCAATGCAGATCAAGCTTTTATCAATGCCGATCCAAGCTTTGTCCGACGACGGTCAGGTATTTGACCAATCCCGGCCAGCGCTTGGCCGGCGCGGCGGTGGTCGTACATACCTTTGTCCAGCGGCGGTCAGTAGCACGGCTAACTCGGCCAGCCACCTCAGTCCACGGCCGGTGTGTGGGCCGACTGGCCACGCTGGAGGACCACTCAGCCGGGCGTTACGGGGCAAACGGCCGACCATCAGTGGACTATCCATTCCGGGCCAACGGCGCCGATAAAAAACGGCGACCGACACCGAGCCACGCCCCCCTCTGCGGGGTAGGGGGAGGGGGTCTAGGTGCTTGCCATACCGACTCACGCCCACCATTGCATCGTCCCCCACCCCTCCCCCAATACCACACACACACCTCACTGCCGACGTGACTGATCATTCCCCACGAGGCCCTAGCCACCCCCGCCAGTGAGAAAGAAGGTTTAAAAAAAACGGATCGTAGGGTAAAGCTCGGCTTGAATATTTTGGGAGCTATTTGATTGGAATGTTTAGTGTGTGTCCGTACAACTTAATGCTTAAAGATTTTAATGTTCATTTATACATAAGTCATAAGATGGCATACACTGGTGACTTTTCAGCCGAGATGAAATGAGACAAATGAGCATGTCACTTTGTCAATGAGACAGATCAGAACCATTTATATCAGCACCTCTCTTGTTCGCTGTAACTGATCTTTAGTATTGGCGTTGTCGTTCAGTGAGCACGGCATGGTGTAATGAGTCACTCTGACGACCGCTTCATTTGTTTATTCTACGAACGCTGCTGGTTATCATCGCGCCAAATATGAAAAGAACGTTTTTCCAGCAATAAAGGGACGTCGCTAAAAGCATTCTACCATGCTGTCAGTGTGATTGCAATAAACTACCATAGTCAGTGACAACAAGCATGTGCATATTTACCATGCTGGTGTCTCTGGAAACTTTCGTTTGAAAGCGCCGGTCGCCGGAAGTCGCTACCGAGGCACCGTTTCTAGTCATATTCCGTTCCGATATGCCGCGACCTGGTCTGATTCCGACGTGCCACCGCCGCGGTTGTTAGGGCGAGCCAAAGCGCGGAAAATCGCTGAGAGCAAAGTAACTCATTGAAACAAGTTCGGCCAGACTTTCTGGGAAGCGGGCGGTTCGAGTGAAGTTTGGCCGCCGCTGAAAGTCAGCTCACGTGCGCGATATCGAGTCTGACTTGATCAAAGCCGGTCGGCGCGCGCGTCCGCCCGCGGCGGCCGGCCCCGATACGCCGTACGGACCAGTCATAATGGTGATGCTCGGTCGCTCCGACACAGATTCGGCGCAGTTTAGTGGGTGCTCCGGGAAATGTCAGCGCCGATCAACTCGGCCACTGAAATGAAATGAATTCCTCAACAGTGATCGAAAATTTCCGGAGACAAATGGCGGGAGAGGGTGTCATTCCGATGATAGGTGATGTTTTAGAGCCGCACGGGCACTCCGTTTTCACATGCGCTGCATTGTGTCAGTTTTATCCAAGCTCAATGAAATACTTGGCTTTGTTACTTATAGTTACATAAACAATGCCATAGATTACATGATTCGTGCTACTATGCATGTCAATAACAATTAAAAATGCATATCAGCCATTCTAATTATTAAGTATTTGCTTTGCCATTACGTTTGCGCTAATGTGAACACCACTTTAGCCAGCCTGCGCACAAGGACCTGAAGCTGTCATGCTGAACTAAATGCAGCCTGGCTATCATTATAGAGCGGTGTTTTTATGAACACTGACGTGCGTTCAACTTCCCATAGTGTATGAGCATTATTACTACCGACGTAATGGCATTCCCTAGTGCCATAATACAGTGCATAACAACCTGAACTCCGCATACCATTGCCCAATGAGGCACCATTCATCCATTTTATGATGTCGTCAGTATGTGCAGAGCGGGGAGGTGATTGCACCACTACCCAGTATCCCATCCACGAGCCTTTTGCTGGCTCTGATCTCCAGTTTAACTTGTGACGAAGTGCCGTCTGTCTGCGACGAGCGTGTTCAATTAAGCACGATGCTTTGGATGGGAGCCACCTGATGAGCGGGGGTCGTGTTCACGTGTTAAACAGACGGTCCTTGTGGTTAGAGCAGTAACGTCGAAATGGCGAAAACGGATGGCACTTTTTAAATAGTGCCGCCCTAGAAGAATAAGCTACAAAAAAAATCTTGTTTTGAACGTTAACTGATGATGTTGAATGTTGAACGACTAGCGGATCAAATGGAGGATTAGAGATGCCACTCCATCACCTATCACCGTCCCTTGACGTAGTTTCTCTCCCTGACGTTAGACGGCGCCAGCGTCGTCCTCCGACCAAGGTGGTCGACAAGACTGGTTCGGCCTCTGGCGGCGTGCTCTCTGGCTGGGCGGCACCCTCGCACGAGGCCGTACCCGCCCACCTGTTTGGTCAGCACGTTCACCAGTTGAGGGCCGAGTCTGCCGACGGCTACCGACGAGAGTGGGAGACCCTGCAGATGGCAGCGCCCCTGACGGACGGTCCGCGAACTAACGGCACCAACAAGAGTGCGGCGGGCGCCGGCCCCGACGCGCACTCAGATAAATGTGAGTGATGACCCTCAGATACCGACTCAGTCATGCAGGTTGAGCCAGTCCACCATGCTGGTAGCAATTTTACAAAGTTTCGAAAACCGGTAAACTTTACTGATGGGCTGTTTGTTTTCAACTGTGCGTGAAATTAACACCGTGTACCAGCTACTAATTATGTTAGCTGATACAATGTGCCGGAGGTCGCCCACTACACCAGAAGTGTAAATTTCACGTTGATTGCCTTTGATATTGTTGCCTGGCCCCAGTGGAGCAATCAAGCTCCTGCGGGCGTGGTTCTCGTACCTTAATTACCTGGCCGCTTATTGACCTTCGCGGCGCACTGTGCACCGGTCTTGATGCGCTCTGAGAAACATCCACAAATGGCAACTTTGACCTCGTGACCCTATGACCCCTGACCTCGTGATCCTGTGACCCCGTGACCTCTTGACCAGTGAGGACATGATCCATGGCAATTTAACCTGCGCACCGTTATCCTACGAGTACGACCCTGACACCGTAACCTTGATCCCTGATCCTGAAACCTATGACCTTGGCCCCTTGACCTTGACCTCGTGACCCGTGACCCCACAGACCAGCTGACCCGTGTAGCGGTCAGCTCACGGCTGTACCGCAGCCGCGCTGTGCCGGCCGCCTATTATGTGGACGGTTACCAGAAGGCACGTGCCTTTATCGTGACTGAGAGACCAGCAGCGGGCGCCGCCGATGTCCTGTGGCGAATCGCCTGGGAACAGGGAGTCACGGGCATGGTTATCATCGGCACACTTGAGGTAAGTAGCAAACGAGGGCCCGATGTGTTTTTTTTTTTAAATTCAATCCTTAATTTTGAATAGCGCAGCTATTATTCGCAGAAGTGTTAGATTAATTGCGTGACGGATGGTGAAAAATCACTTATGTGATTCTAATTGTGATTAAATTGATTAGGCAGCTAGTTATATAAGCCTGCCGCAGCAGTAGTTCCATCGGCCGATTGCGAAGCCGCACAGTGGTCGGTCGGCCGGTCGCCGGCTGTGTTTTTTGGCCGCAGTTCCGCGCGCTGGCAGTGCCGCTCGTAAAGTCCCTTTAGGAGCCAGGTCGGCTCTGTGCCCGCCCTCCTGCGGACTGCAGCTCTTATCCGCCGACTTAAATCAAAGCTGGCGTGGATATTTGAATAATTCGCTCTGATCCCCTTGGCCGCAAACAGAGCCCTTGCAGCCCTCTGGGATGTGGCGTATTTATACACCACGGGCGTCGTTAATACAACGGAAAGGCATAGTATAACTTTGGATGAGATCGAGATGGTTTTGCAAAGTGCCAGTGTGAGGCGGCTCGGTCAGTAAAACGCAGGACTGGTAAGAATTATATGGTGTTTCTTCATCCACGATGTAGTTACTATGTGCTCTCATTACAGACTATACTATTACGGGAAAGTGTCAAAATTTAACATGAAATGAGAGCTGCAAAGACAATCCATAAAGGATCCAACTCATTGCCACTGTAGCCAATGAAGAATGTACTATTTCTCATTGTTTAACCCGCGCCGTGCTGGGGGGGGGGCGTTTTTACGCCCCCCCCCCCTCAGGTTTTTCGCGAATATCTCAAAAACGGCGGCGCGCAGCGCCGCCGTTTTTGGTACACGTGTTCCTACATCATTTCCGCACATGTTGTGAAAATTTCAGACCTAGGCCGTTCAAGGTCAGGTCACCAGGTCACGTCAAGTGACCTTACCTCAGAAAAAGTTCAAAGGCTCGCTATAGCTACACCGACTGAACGATCACTTTGAAACTTTCAGCGATTGATATGAGTAACAGTATGTATAAAATTTATATCTCGGATTTTTGATATCTGTGACCTAAGGTCAGGTCAATTTTGCGACCTCTCCATTATAAGTCAATGGGAGAAAATTGAAATGCGCCTCTTTTGGACGAATATCGTTCAAAACGCTCTCAAACATCGGTTCATAGGTAAACATGACACACTGAATAGGAAAAATGCACCTGTGACCCCTCTGTGTGCCCCTGAGGTCATCTCAGGTCATGAACGGTCGCCAGCAGTTTTTTGGCTATAACTTTTGATAGAGACGTGCTAGAGCGGTGAAAACACGTCAGATGTGTTCAGCTCGACGATACGGATCGACTGATATGCAACATGACCCTTTTCGGTCAGGTCATGACCTTGACCTGAGGTCAAATTTTCAAAATGACCTTTCAAGGTCAACAAATAGTTCATTCGACGCGTCTCGACGAGAGGAACACGATGCTGGCAAAAGTAATGTCATGGCGCTTATGAGTCAAAAGTTATTGACGAAAAAACGTTTTTCGTAAAAACGGCTATTTTTGGAGTTTTTGCCCTCTAGAGGCTAAACCGTTGACCTGAGGTCAAATCTGAGAACATTACTCAGAAAGGTCTGTAAAAGGGCTATCGAATGCGCTTTTCCGCAGCGCTGTAGCTCTATCGGTTCCCGAGATAGCCGTTGGCAGTTTCCAAAATGTTGAAATAGTCAACATTTTACCTTTGGTGACCTCTGGTGACCTGACCTTTGACCTGACCCAAAAAATGACCGAAGTGTTTTCGTCCTTATTTTTGACGCTCTTTCGATTGCCGCTTACCGCGTGTCGCTAGGTGGCCCAGGAGCCGAGTTAGACGGGGGGGCGTGAAAACGCCCCCCCCCCCCCCAGCACTCGGCGGAAAGTTCAGGCCACCAGCACGGCGCGGGTTAAGTAAATGTGTTAAAGGCTAAAGCCATTACAAATCACGATTCACCGTATTTTGCCTTGCATCGTAAATACACATCACATGCCTACTTTATCCCTTCGTCCCCACCACAGCCATGCATTTTCGTCTCATGTATAACCCAGTCTCCACTCGCTTTGCATTTGGTATCCTCAGAAGGCAGCTCGCCTGTGGCCGGACTGGGGCGCGTGCCGGCCTTTCGGCGACCTCCAGCTCGAGCTGCGAGAGGAGCTGCAGCTGGCTGCCTGCTGTGTCCGCCAGCTCGCCGTCTCAAAGCTCAAGGTACGACCGTCGCCGCGCGGGTCCTTCATAAGACTCCGTTCCGTTCAATACGGCGCGGAACGGCTCACGGCCGGCTTACGATGGCGTCCGACTCAGTAGCGACTGGTTCGATTTTACTCAGCCGCAGTCGGGCAAAATTCAATTTTATCGGCACCGAAGTAGCTGCCACGTGGGAGTTCTGGACTATGATTCCGGCTGGTCCGCAGGTGGCAGCCGGATTGGGTGTTAATAGAATTGGCTGCTAGAATGCGGAAGTAAGTATAGGGTGGTGGTGTGGATACTGCATAAATCTTGTGGAATAGGCTATGAAGCTTTCACTTTGTACACTTACATTCACGCAATTACATTGGCGTCATTTGACATTGAAGAATGCATGCTGCCGTCATTCCTAATCAGTTTGTTGATACCTAAGCGTCATGCCACTCAGCTTCTTTAAAAAACATTGTTTTTAAAAGGTCGAAACAAATCGTTATGTGCACTGTCAGCTCCAGCATTTACGTAGAGAACATAAGTTTGGTCCGGCAATATATCAGTTCACATAGTCCGGAGCGAAATCTGCTAGAACGGCAATGGACCTTTGAAAACCATATTCTTGTTTTCCTTTCAATTCTGGTGGAGCATACATATTGCGTAATTAGTTTTGTTTGTTAGCATTGCATTCATTTTCCTGCCTCCAGCTCCGCCGGCCAAGTTGTGTGCCGTGCGGTACAGCATAAATTTCAGGCGCCGACTACTAGTGCCATCTAGCGACAATGTTATAAGCTGTCGCAGCGGTGGCTCAGATACGGTTAGGTCAGGTGTTTACGTAAGAGAGGAGCGTTGTAATGTTCATCGTAGTGATACAAATGTAATGGTAGGTACAAAGACTAATAGGGTACGTGGCCCCTATCACGACACACCTAGCATGCCTCGAAGGCGGTATTGTCCGCGGAAAAACAGCTATTGTCAGTCAGGAATCAGACAAGCAGTGACCTTGTTCACGCAGAGTTGGGATACCCAGACTTAAAGACAGTGATTAAAGAGAACCAAATTAAATTTCTAGGAAAGCTGACATCACGAGATGATTTCGAGGGCAGTCCCGCCCAGTTAGCCATGCATTTATCAGTGCAGTCGGGCTCACAAGCTGGCCGTTATGTCAACTCCCTACAAATGGAAGAAATCGGGTCACTTAGAGAAAGAAACATGGAAACCTTACGCTGTAAAATTTTAGAATCAACATCGACGCGAATGACAACATACCGTGAGTTTAATCAGAATGTCGCGCGACACCGTATGTATGAGGCAAATGTACCTGAAAACGAGCGCATCGCTTTTACAAGAATCCGTTTAGGTTCACACAGGTTAAAAATAGAAACGGGGAGGTGGTCGCGCATTCCAGAGACAGAAAGGCTGTGCACGTGCGGGTCAGTGCAAACAGAGAAACATGTACTTTTAGTCAGTCAGTAGACTGCCCAGAATCAAATTCACTTCGAGAACATTTCCCCAGATTAAATTTTTCCGGTCTAACTGTCCTTATGGATGCACACCCTTTAGATCTCGCAAGGCTATGTAAGAACATTCTTGAAAAGTATGATTCATAATATGTATTTAGATTGTGCTTCGCCATGTCCGCGGTGCTCATATTGTATTTTGTTATTTTAATGGACACGTTTTCACTCGAGTTTTATCCTTTTTATGTATATTTTTAGTGTATTGCATTATGTATAGAATTTTGTATTTTATGTATTGTGTGTATTTTATCAAGAGTGCAGTGTCAATAAACTATCTATCTATCTCTATCTAGGCGGCTTGTGGGCTGTGGCACTTTGACACCTAGGATGTTGACAATGCCAGTTCCAGTATTTGTCCTAGGCGTTTGCTTTCAAGACGTGGCTTCTGTTTTCCAACAACCAATAATTATTTATGATGTGTGTAATGTATACTCTAGTGTCTACCACCCAGTGGATCCCGATGTGCTCTTACATAAGTCCATCCTGCCGTCCTGTAATCGCGCACATTCGAATGCTTTGAATTCGTACAACGCAAAACACAATGAAAGGACATCAAAGATATCACAAAGTAAAAGGTGGACTATACGAAAGTGAATTATCACTCGTACGTTTTGGCGCAGTTTTTAACACATGTAAAGAATTAGAGTGTATCTCTCACGTTTGGTTTCAGAATTAGTGCATGTTACTGGCACGTCGTAAGTTGTTCACACATTGCACACCAGCCCCTGCCACAAATGTTGTCAGAAAGTTGCCGGTTGATCTCTGCGTCCTTTATTTTATGATTGAACAAATACTTCGAAAGAAATTATCGATAATTGTATTGCAGACTTGCTTATTATAGGGGTCACTTACCATCAAAAGTGCCAATATAAATAGATATTGAAAATATTACGCGTAATATATCATTTATTTAGCTACGCTGTTACATAACAAAGATGATCAATGATCATACATACATGCTGAACCATATATGAAGTGGAAATATTCGGCAGTTGTCATTGAGGCCAGTATGACTTTAACCAAGCATCATGTAAGAAAGGACATTGTATTTTGTAAGAAAGGGCACAGTCATAAGAAAGGGTATATAGTCCCCGTGAGAAAGGGGACGTGTAAGAAAGGGGACAGCAATGAAAAATAACATTCAGTCATCACAATTCACATACCTACGAGTCCTTTACCTATACCCGACGGCCGCTGTCGCTGTTTGCAGGGTAAATCGGGCGGCGGCGGTCGTCAGGAACGGCTGGTGACGGTGTTCCAGTACACCCACTGGCCGGAGTACGGTCTGCCTGAGGACACCCTGCCGCTACTGGACTTTGCGCAGCGCGCTCTGAGGCATGAGCCGCCCATCAAGAGTCCGCTCATGCTCATATCCGGGTAAGTAAGTCCCCCATCAGGAGTCCGCTCATGCTCATATCCGGTTAACCCTATTCCTGGCGGGGGGCCTCAGGAGCCCCCCCCCCCCTGAGGTTTTTTGGTTATTTCTCCCAAACGCGTTGAGCTAGGAAGCTCAAATTTTCTGACTTTTCCTAAAAGGCTTCTACGCAACATGTCTGAAAATTTTGAGTTGATCTGACCTCAGGTCAGGTCACCAGAGGCGGTTTGGTGACCCTACCTCAGAAAAGTTTGCAATCACGCCAGAGCTAGAGTTTTTGACCGATCAATTTCTTCTCTTCAGGCTTTAGTTAGAGTACCAGTATGTGCAATTTGTATATCTCGGAATTTTGATATCGGTGACCTAAGGTCAGGTCAGTTTCGCGACCTCCCCATTATAAGTCAATGGGGGAAAAATCAACTCCCTGTTTTTACCACTAAAACGGGTCGGAATGGCCCCATATACCATACATGACTTCATATACGATCAACCTTCACTACCTTGAGGTCTGTTTTGCTGTTGGGCAGCTGTGAGGTCATGTGACGTCATCAAAGGTCACCAAAGGTTTTTGGCCAATAACTCCGTACAGGAACAAGATACAGACGCGTGGATGGTCTCATTGTGTTAAGCTCGTCAAGACGCATCGAATGATATACATGATGACCTCGAGGTCACGTGACCTGAGGTCAACCTTTGACATTGACCTTTCGAGGTCAACATATATAACATTCGATGCGGATTGACGAGAGGATCACGATGATGCCCTTAGTTTGTTCCTATCTTGACTAATTCGAAAGTTATTCGAGAAAAACTCTCTCCATATCTAGCGCCGCCATTTTGACTTTTTCGACCCCTGTAACGTCATCTTTGACCTGACCTGAAAATGACCTTCGTAAAAATTGTAGATCTTGACCGTGCGTATCCGATGCCGTTTACCGTTTGTCGCTGCGATGTGTAGTTTTTGAGATCTGAAGGGGGGCCGAATCGCCCCCCCCCGCCAGTTTCTTGTCCCGGCGGAGCCCGCCAGGAATAGGGTTAAGTCCCCCATTAGGAGTTTACCTATGCTCTTCGGGTGAGTAGCACAGTAGTGATAGGGGCTACAACAAAGACAAGGTAGCAGTTACAACTATAACTAGTTACCTTGTCGACAGGGCCACAGTGCAGGAAGCCTTGTTATGCTGGGTGGATGATGTACTTACATGCAGTTGTTTAAATACAGTTGGGTGGTGTGTAGTAGCTATAGAACTTCGACAGCTCAAGAATTGTTGATTCTTGCGGGTCACTGACGACTGATAAACAATGCAGAGATGTGTGCTTTTGTAACAAAGTCAGTGTATCCAGATTCCAGAACCGCGATTCCTCGAAACATAAGGCCGCCAAGTACTACTGGACAAAAATAGTTTGATTGAAATTTAAAAAGACTTCACTTATGTAAGTTTGTGCCGATGCACTTCAGATGGTTCAGGCAAAATTATAGTTGTTTATCGATGAAACAGCCGGCGGTTGAATTACAATTTCAAAATTTACAAACATCTCTTCTGCTAGTCTGCACTTTGTATGTACGTGTAAGTTATCTGAGCCTCAACAGTCATATAAAGTGAATCTTAGCGTGAACCGAACGTTAAAATTAAATCTGGTCGGGTCCCTGGCCCCAAGTGGCCGGCGTGCCGAGGGAGGAGGCGCCCATCTGTCGACTGGTTTATTCTAGGCGGATCTGGATCCATCAGAAATTGATTTACATGGTGCCGATAAATTACGGTTGGCCGCCGAGATGGTCGGCAAAGTGAGCGGTAAATCAGCGGTGTCAGAGGCGGCCGATGGCCGGCCCGGCCGCGCGGTCCGCTCGTCTGTCGCGTGACCACAGTCCCCCTCCCCCTTCTCCTCACCAGCCGGCCCGAGCCGTCGCTGCCCTAGGCTGTGTCAGCCGAGGCGCTCCGTTTTCAAACACCAAATCACGAGTATCCCTACATGATCGTCAATTATAAATTTTCAAATCCACCCAGCACCCATTTTCACCTTTTGGGTTTAATTTGGTTTTAAGCTTCGTTTGTCCAATGCCCGTCTATTTTCTCTGCAGATCATTTACTCCATCCGTGCTTTTCCTCCTGTCTCCTTTGTTTACTGGGTTCAAACGATACTCGAGTGTCATCTCGACTTACTAATTGGACCGTCCTTGCGTCATTGTGTCTCTGTGTACTGCGCGGATCGTTCCCAATGAGCCGTAAGATATCGGCAGACACCCGAGCCCGGGGCATTAGCCGGGGACTGAGAGCACACTGAAGCGACTGAAGTGTGTCAACTTTGAGTGCCGCCAGCGACCGGGCCGGGCCAGGCCGCTCGGCGAGCCGAATTAATCCTTCCAAGTCACGTTCAAATGCCGCGACAGACGATCCCTGTGCTGGCAGACTTGGGCCTGACTTACTGCTGTGATTAGGGTTCAGGTGGCTGGAGGCCCCCGGGGGAGTCGGTCCCGCTCGCTGGCTGAGCCGAGACGGTGCCGTCTCGACGGCCTTTATTGCCGCGTTGGCTCAGCAGTTTCCGCCCGCTTGATGCATCGCTGTTTGGCGGATCGGTGCATACGACAGCGATGCCAGTTGACGCTAGATTACATTTGTTTCCTGAGGCATGTTTTAGGGTAGTTGTAGCGTATTTATTCTGCAGTGTATGTTTGCGCAGCTCGTTTGTCTCCTGTGCGTCGTTTCACACAGCGGCAATGTGTTGTTGACAGCAGGTCGTTCTGTGGAGCCGGTCTATACCTGGGACTGGTGACACTGCTCACCCAGCTGAACTACCGTGGTGAGCTGGGTGTTTTCTCCTACTGGCAGCACATTATCGGTGAGTTCCAGCCTGCGGCGACTAGTTGCGCATTTGCTGGAAATGCGTGGGAATCCCTACCGGATACTGTGGATGCTTCTATGTAGAGGACCTCCATTACTGGGTGGTCGCCCATATCGGAATCAGGCACTAGCATTTACTTTTTATTCTCATATATATCTCATATCTCATATATGTATTTATAGGCTTTTAGTGCCGCTGTCTCGCACTGCAATGCATCTTCAACCAGGCACCTCATTATTCGGCCAACCCTGTTTTGCTGGCGGCATAACAGTGTGTTCGATCCCAGCCTGGTTCCTCCCCCCTCCCTTCGCGCTCCATCGCCGGCTCTGTGGGCTCGGCTCGCTGTAATGTATGTTGATCGAGTGCCATAGTTTGGTCCCGGGGGCGGGCCGCTACTGTTCTCTCCAAAACCCTAACACGCACTAACCTGCTGAATTATCCATTGGATCCGCTACGGAATTTCAAGATGGTAAATAAAGCAGAAAGGATTTTGGAGAGAATTTGTCGGGAAAAGAATTTGCTAAATTTGTTCGGGAAGTGATTGATTATTGTTGCGTCATGCATGTTGCATAGGCGCCTTCCGACTGAGATTTAAAGTGAAAATCAGTTTGAAGCAAATTTCCAGACATCAATTAGGTTTGAATTTTTAGCTATTTACCCCAACAGTTGAAACTTTAAACTAGAAAATTTTGCATTTCCTTTCCAGTCTTCCAGATAAGACGTTTCGATAGTTTTAAACAGTTCCGTCGGGCATTTTATTTAGTTCGAGCGCAGCACATTTATGACCTCTTCTCTTACGCTATGTGTGATACACAAAGTCGAGACGATTCGTCTGCCCCTGTAGTTATCCGGCCTTCGCTGTCTGCTGACGTCCGATCTCACGTCCTCCAGGCCAGTGTCCGAGCCTGCTGCCGACGGTGGAGGAGTACTCACTGCTGCACGACTGCCTGCTGGAGCGGGTGACGGCAGGGGAGACTCTGGTGACCCGCGACGGCGCCCGACGCTACATCGAACACCTGGAGGCCACCGCCGACGGCTTCCCCTACCCGCCCGCAGAGAAACAGTACAAGGTAGGTGGGGAAGATCGTTATATCTGTTCGGAACGACCGGTGTTCTCAGCAAAGTTTAAATATACGGTACATATTCTAGATAACTTTCATAATAGTTGTGTTGCTTTTTTTACGTAATAAACTTGAAGTAATATCGAATTTGCTAGGAAATTTACAAATAAAAGATTTTTTTTCGAACTACTCCGCCACCCATTATTAGGTGACCAGGAGTGCCCCCACCCTCAGCCCAGCGACTCACAGCACCTTACGTTAACACCAGACAAAAATAAAAAAGGATAAGTCGCGGCACTCCCAGCTAGGAAAATTGAAAAAAAAAAAACAAAGTAAGCAAAAGAAGTGCGGGAACCGGTTAATAAATAGAGCCAAAGTAGTCATTGCTGAAAGCAGCGGATGACTGTTCTACTACATCTAGGAAAGAAGTCATTCATACATGCATACATAATTGGTTAGTAGAGTGCATTCAGCCTTTCACTCCTAGAAGGAAAATCAGCAAATGGCAATCCAGTGGGGAAACATTTCTGGTCAATTCGAGCGCAGGTCAACAGCCAGACTTTCTAGGGCCCACCAGCTAAGCAGGGCTTGTTGCTGATGGACCCCTTCAAGTCCGGCGTTCCATTTGAGTGGGGACGTATCTCCTGTGTTGATAATCACAAAGGTAGGTTACATTATCAACACATCATTGTCAGCCTAGCCCAATAATAAATGCACCAATATGTCCATTTATTATTGGGCCACTTGTCGAGATGCTAAGCACTTTGTATGAAAAGTACTAGGTAAGCGTGTGTATTACGCTATTTAGGTATGTATTGCTATTTATTATCATGTTCTTGTTGTTTTTCTTATTGTAAGATTTAACATATTTTCATATTCATTTATAGGTATATTTACGAGGATACTTAGTACCCAGGATTACTTAACTAATACTTTTGCTAATATTTCACTTAAATTTTTGATAAGTACTTTTGCTTAGTACTCACTAAGTAAGATATTCTTTACATATTTTTTGAAGGTGTTTTTTGATTGAGGTACTTCTTCTAATAGAAGATCTTTAGCTATTAAGTCATTCCAGAGTTTGGGTCCGATGCAAGGAAATGAGTAGAGCCTGTAATTTTTTGTTGAAAAAAACAGGTTGAAAATGATGGATATTTCTTGTCTGATGGATAGGGTCAGTTGAAAGATGAAGTAATCGTCTTACAGAGACTGGTAATTCCTGCATTATGTACTTATGCATGATAAGCATTATTTGAAGTTTGGCTACGTCTTTAATTTTAAGAATACTATATTTTTTAAATATTGGGGTAGCACTTTGTGGTGGGAAAATACCTTCAATTAGTCTCATGAACCTTTTTTGCAGAATTACCAGCCTTTGAAGGTGGTTTTCATAGTTGGAACCCCAAATGAAACAGCAGTAGTTGATATAAGGAAAAATCAAAGAATAATATAATTGAATGAGCTGCTGTTTTGGGATAAAGCGTCTAGCTCTTGCAATCATTCCAATGTTTCTGCTGATAATTTTACATATGCTACTGATATGAGATGTGAATTTGAGGTCAGAGTCAATAAGGATTCCTAAATATTTCACTGTTTTCATTTCAACTACTGCTGTGTTTCTAATGTAAATGTTTAACTTTTCAGCAGTTCTCCGTTTTGAATATACTTGGAGAAATGTTTTTGATGGGTTCACTGTGAGGTAATTGGCTTCTAGCCATTCAGATATTTTTGACAGGGCTGCATTTGTTATTTCTTGAAGTGTTTCTCTGTTTTTATGTTTGAAAAATATTGCAGTATCATCTGCATACAACATAATTTGCCCTTCAATTGGAAGATTTGCAATGTCATTTAAGTATAGAATGAAGAGGAGTGGTCCAAGAATTGACCCCTGCGGCACTCCTATTTTTATTTCTCGTTCAGTTGACTTGACCCCTTCTATCTGTACCACTTGAACTCTGTTTGTTAAGTATGATTTGATTGTTTTTAGGATATTTCCTCGAAAACCCATCTTGTTTAACTTTTCTAGTAGTATTTGGTGTTCTACAGTGTCAAATGCTTTTGAAAGGTCAAGAAAGACACCTGCTATAATGTTATTAGTTTCCAGTGCTTCAGTTATGTAGTCTTGAATAAGCATGACTGGCATGTAGGTAGAGTTATTTTTCCTGAATCCAAATTGATTGTCTGAGAGAATGTGTCTGCTTGTTGCAAAGTCTGTCAGTTGGTAGTGGATAACCTCTAATATTTTTGAAATTATTGGCAAAATGCTTATTGGTCTGTAGTTAGATAAGCTATTATGATCTCCACTTTTGAATATTGACTTCACAGATGCTATTTTTAAGGGATCTGGGAAGGTTCCTGTTGAGAGGCATAGGTTGAAGAAATAAGTAAGCTTTGAAAGGATAGGTTTGTAAGAATGTTTCAATATTTTTGAATTGATTCCATCAATTCCAGCACCAACATCTTTAAGCTGATTAATTATTTGTTCCACTTTATCATCAGTGACACTAGAAAAGTTAGTCATTTCTCCTTCTGTCTCTCGAACATTTTCTAAGGGATTTGTGTTGTTACAAGGAATATTTTGTTTCAACTTTTCCCCTATTTCTGTGAAAAATTTGTTGAAACTTTCAGCCATTGACATCATTTCTTGACCGCTATTCTCAGTGTTGTTTAGTGTTTCACCTGGCAAAATATCACATTTACTTTTTTGTTTTAGAAGTTCATTTAATGTTTCCCATGTCTTTTTGGGGTTCCTGTTGTTTTTTTTTTTGAAATTCTGCTTCATAGTAGGCCTTCTTTGAGTTTGTAATTGCCCTATTTAGACAGTTTCGATATTTGTTGTATTGTGCTATATTGTATGAATTACAGCATAAGATTACATGCTGTAATTCATTACAGCATGTAAGAAAGATTACAGCATAAGCTGAAAATACAATATAAAAAATTCAGATTACCTATTACCAGTACGCAGTCCCTAGTTGGCTTGATGTTATGTTAGCAGCATCGATCAAAGACGATCCGGCTTCTTTTCCTCGTAACCAATGATGCCTCCATTGAGATCATCGTTAACAACAGGATGCTCATGTATCTTTCCACATCCGCCTGCCTCGTTTCAGCAAGCTATCGCGATGGACGCTAACCTTTACCTGGTAGCGGCGGCCGCCAAGCCGTGTAACGAGCCGAAAAACCGCAGCATCAGCTATCTACCGATGGAGACGTCCCGTGTTCGGCTGAAGAAGACCGCAGCGACCGACGGCGGAGACTACATCAACGCTTCGTGGCTACCCGGTGAGGGGGGTGGTGGGTTAATGGGTAGGTGGGGGGTGGGGGGGGGTGAGGGGGAACGTGGGGGGGAGGGGCAGTGGGAAAAGTGGGGTAGAGAGTCAGAGACTAGAGTGATTATGATGAGCTGATGATGGGGAATTCGGAATGGTGATATAACGACGGGTAACGTTAGTATAGCGATGGAATTATGAGGTATAATTAGGCGCTCGATGGTTTGGTAGCTTGTGAAATGCGTTGAAATGACGACGTTGTTTCTGAGGTGTAAATTGTCTTGGGATCGGTTATCTTTCCGTGAGGAAACGACGCGACGAGGAAACGACGGCGGGACTATGGACAATGGAAGGGCAATGACGGAAAAACGGTATTTAAGTGATTAACGGTAGTGGGACATTCGCAGATACCTACTAATGAGCTAAGAGCTAGATAACGAATAAATCCAAAGACCTAAGAGCGGTGCTTCGTTAACCGCTATGACTGTATTTTTACGTTTTAACACCTGGTCAGTTAGATGTGGTGTTTGCTGAGCTCTCATCTTTATGTCTGCCTTATTTGATCTCCCTGCATCACTTGAATTTCTCACTGAGTTAAGCAACGATATGTGTCGCCACGCCGCTGATTACTCCAATTTGCATTTCTTATATCTGAAAACCGCTTGATCTACCTCAAGTAGAAGACAGGCCCGACAAATTTACATTTCTATCAGCGTCACCTTTGTCGTTGTCGGCACATCAAAGTTGGCCTCGCCAGTGGGTCCACTAACTTGAGGTGAAGTTACACGCCTCACCTGTTCCACTGCAGCACTCAGGTAGTTAGAGCTCTGTCTCCGGCCGTGACGTAGCATTCAGGAAAAAGGTTGGTGCCGAGCGGAGAAAGGTCTTTCGACACGGTCTTTGCTGCACCAGTGTTTCCTAGGAAACCAATGCCTAACAATATACCTACAATGCACACACTGCTCCGAAGGCGAGACGTGGCTCTCCCTTTCTCCCTCGCTCCCTCCTCTCTCTCTCTCTCTCTCTCTCTCTCTCTCTCTCTCTCTCTCTCTCTCTCTCTCTCTCTCTCTCTCTCTCTCTCTCTCTCTCTCTCTCTCTCTCTCTCTCTCTCTCTCTCTCTCTCTCTCTCTCTCTCTCTTCTCTTTCTCTCTCTCTCTTTCTCTCTCTCTCTCTCTCTCTCTCTCTCTCTCTCTCTCTCTCTCTCTCTCTCTCTCTCTCTCTCTCTCTCTCTCTTTCTCTCTTTCTCTCTCTCTCTCTCTCTCTCTCTCTCTCTCTCTCTCTCTCTGTCTCTCTCTCTGTCTCTCTCTCTCTCTCTGTCTCTCTCTCTCTCTCTCTCTCTCTCTCTCTCTCTCTCTCTCTCTCTCTCTCTCTCTCTCTCTCTCTCTCTCTCTCTCTCTCTCTCTCTCTCTCTCTTCTCCGACAAGAGAAACTGCGACCTGCGTTCCCTATTGCTGACTGCTGAGTAAGTAGTTGTTACCAGTAGGCAGTTGGCCAAGAAAAAGGCGTTCCTTTTTTAATAAGATATTGAATATAATTGTGCTCCTAGAAGTTCCTGGCAATACACAGGCCGAAGCATCACAATAAAAGCTCGCTGCTTTACCTTGAATTTACGTCTGGGGTGCCTGTGTCAGAGTGTAAGCAGTAAGCAGTAAGCACTAAGAGCAGTGCGGTTCATAGAAGGCAGCGGTGGCACTAGAGTGCATACATTACCACTCTGGTGAGCCAAGCCTTCAGCTGAGAGCGCGCTAATATCGGAAGTGGCTCTATCGAGAGCGGCCCCAAGAGCTAATGGCCAGCGGAGGGGAATACCGCGTCAGGACCTTACGCCTTGTAGAAAAGGATTTCCGTGACTTAAGTTGGCTATGAGAGTGGCGGTGTATGATATTTATATAGAAAACAATACTTCCACTTTCCACAGCCTTTCCTTTGCATCACTTCCTGTTAGATTTAGGCACGATGTTGTGCTATCGCTATTTAGAGGTCAAGTCCCTGCTGTAACTATTGGCATCCGTGTCGTTTTGCGTCCATTCGACGTATCGTTTGGTCTTTGGTCTCCACTCAGCAATGGGATGGAGGTCAAGTGACCAAGCTGATCAATACTTAGTCTTGCCAACGTATACGCAATGCCCACAGTCGTTGCTGAGGTAACTGCTAAGGCTTCCCCAGTTCAGCTTACCTGATCACCTAACTACAGGGTGATCGAAAAAAAGTGTCACCCCTAATTTAAAAGCCATATAACTCGCGATTGGTTGGTCGTACGACTTTGCGCCAGGCAGCATTGGAAAGAGCATACAATTTCCTTTCGAATGGATGTAAATATGCATGGTTTATGCCGCAAACGAAGAGGTAGCTATTCAAAAAGTATGTTAAGGATGCAATTTGGCGTGTTCAAAAGTTTGGTTGTGCAAATTTGTACTTTTGACAGAGTTTTTTATCTGACAGCTCACGTGACAGCTCACGTGAGCATTTTTTCTTAACTGTTCCATGGTTACCGCTGTATAAAATTGATAATCCGGTAGTGCAGGTTGTCGCAATGTTTCGCTAGTTACCGGCGAATTTGTGAATAATGAGGCCGCATGTTTGCAAGAAAGATCTGATAAGGTCTTCCTTGTCTAAGGTCAGCTGAGAAACGAGTCTAAGGTCAGCTGAGAAACAGTCTGCAGTGAACAATATACCTACACTCCATGTGTAATGTGTAAGGTGTGTGTCATGTTGAGTTACGATACTGTTCTCGTTCAGCGGTGTCCGATCCCGTTCGGTGAATTTCGTTTCACGTGAAAGCCGCACATTAACTGGTTTTTGAGCCCATGGGGACATGATTTGGAAAAGAAAACAATCATCAATACATTCAATTGAAAAGAAATTGCCTGCTCTTTCCGATGCTGCCTGGCGCGAAGTCATCCGACCTACCTGTCGCGAGTTATGTAGATTTTAAGTTAGGGGTGACACTTTTTTTCGATCACCCTGTACAAGCTGTTTTCTGTCGCCAGGGTACCGACTGATGCAGGAGTACATCCTTACCCAGCACCCATTGGCCAGCACGGTGCTGGACTTTTGGCAGATGTTGTGGGACTACCGGGTCACTACGGTCACCTGCCTGTCACCGGAGGTCAGTACGGGGGAATGAATCAGAAGTTTGTTTAGGGCTGAGATCAGTCCCGAGAAGTTTTTAGTGAACCTGACCTGGAACCCTGATGTTATTATCTGGAGGCTACAAACTCCGTTTGATGTTCCTGGCTGTCCAATGTCCGTGCCGTGCCGTGAAAGGCGTTCATGAATCGATTCCAAATAGATAATGAGGTCAATGTTTCACATATTTATCTTCGATGGCATCAAATAAATGAACATTTTCATCGGACAAGAAACTTGTCAGGTATTTGTGTGTAATGTGAATCACACCTCACAACGTGTGCGTCACAGCATAAGTCGAACTCATATAAATAATGTGATTGCTGCTCCTCGCCGTCAGGATTTCGGCACCTTCTGGCCCCTGGAGGAGGAGGAGCTAACTGGAGCCAACTTTGTGGTTCGGTACATGTCGGAGAGCGCCGACTGCAGCGACACCTACAAATCATCGTGGATCATCCGATCCTTCCTCATGGAGTCGACAGAGGTCAGCACACTCGTAAATGAGCTCGACCACCAGCTCTCAAAGGCCACATCTTAGCCACAACTCATAACTCTCGTTTGTATTCTGACGTCGGACCTCTCCTTACGAAGATGTTATCCAAGCATATATTTGTAGTGTTCTTTTTGTTTATAATCAAGAAGCTACATTATTAAATTTGCAAAAATTATGTTTGCAAATCCCTGATGCAGCCCAGTGCGTCAACCTGTCACACCGCCCCCGATGTCCGCAGGGCGACGACGACCTCACAGTACGGATAGTGCATCTGCCGCTCTGGCCAGAGGAGTGCTCCACAGACGCGATACTGGAGGGAGTGCTGGGTGTCACTGAGATCCAGGGACAGCGGCACACCCCGCTGGTTGTCATGGATAGGTGAGCGGGACAGCAGGACAGCAGCGGGAGAGGGGGACCAGTGGGACAGCGGGGCAGCGCGGCAGTGGAGCAGTGGGACAGCGAGGTGCGGCAGGGATGGAACAGTACAGCGAACATAACAGAGGCTGGAGTCAAAGTGTTATGGGGTGCTGGTGGACGGCCTACTTGGGGCCTTGAGGATCCCTGCTGTGTGTGGTTGGAGGAGGTTGGTAGCAGGTAAGCGTAATGTGCAAATCATAGGGACTTTCATGCTCGTATCAAGCGCTGTTTTGGTTGACTTAGTGCAAAATTGCTTTTCAATTGAACGCAACCTTCAACCACTGATATGTAAGCTCCATAAGCCGTTAAATAAGACCCCTGGCCGACCTCGACGGACGACGCCAATAGCTCTCTCGTGCTAAGCACGTGCCTCTGGCGGAACAGGAGTCCGTGAAATGTTCGTACTCTTTACCCCGCCTGTGCCGCATCGACCCACAATAGGCCAACCTTTGAACAACAGTACGCTTGGGAACGTATCGAAAAGACCACACCATTGACCGGTCACGTCTCGGTAATGTAATCTTCATTGTGATGTAACTTGTCAACTGTTCATAACCAACGGTAGGCGGTACTGGCGCATTACCGCTCGCTCGTAAAGTTATACCTCCGGCTTTACTGATAAAGGCTGTATGATGAAGCTTTATGAGTATTTTATGAGTATGATGAAGCTGTGTGATGAAGCTTTTTTGTATGATAATGGCTGAAGGTGAAGAAATTACACGGCTGTACATAAAATGGTAATGAAGTGGTATAACTATGTATTATGTGTTGTATCATAACTTTTATATATTAGATGCTGAGCTCTTGTCTCCGTTGTCTGCCTCAAAGGTACGGCGGCACCGAGGGTGCCAGTTTCTGCGTGCTCAGCACCGCCCTGAGGCAGCTGCGGCAGGAGGGCTCCTTCGACATCTTCACGTACGCCAAGCTCTACCACCAGCGGAGGCCGGGCATCTGGAAAACCATGGTACGTCTGATGTCCCGGTGCTACCCCAGCTGGAGTTTCGGTACTTTATCCGTATGTGATCTTTGAGCCTTATTTGACCTCCGGCCTCCTTTGTGCCCTAAAGGGAGTTTTTTACCTAGTGCATCCCTGAAAGACCTCTGGGCTCTTCTGACCCATGACCCCTCGTGTTCCTCCAGCGGGAGTTTCTGTATCGGTACCCCTGTGTGGCCGCTATATGACCTTTATTCTTTGTGCCCCCAGCGGGAGTTTCTGTACCTGTACCACGCCGTGGAGGCGTGGCTGTCGGTGCGTCGCTCTACCGCCCTCTACCGTAGCGACTCGTGCACCAGTATCTGTCAGAACCGCAGCGAACTGGAGGTCAAACTGAGCGGCGTCGATGGCGTCATAGTGTGAGACGGGCTCGGCCAATCAGCGCCCGAGATAGGCTCATAGCTGCCGCGGGCAGCCAATCACAGGGTGACGGCTCAGCGGGCAGCCAATCGCTGACGGCGAAATCCATAGGTGACCAATCAGAAACGACTCAATCAGCGAACAACCAATCACATACCGTGATTGTGCTGTAATAATGTGATTGGGCACGAAGACCGGCGATCGCACATATTCAGCGTTTAGTCACAGGACAGAGATTCCCGGCGAAGCTGATTAGGTCTGCCGGGTGCAGGGCCCGGTGAATCGCATTGACTACGGGAACAGACTCGCCAAGTGTTTTAGGTGACCAATCCCAGAAGTGTTTATACGATATACGGTGCGTTGTGCTACTTGAGCTTATAGTGAACTTGAACCGGAGCCATACGAGGGCTAGTGGCGGCCCCAGGGTATGTAAATCCGATGAGTAGGGTGGTGAAAATTGAACCTACCGGGTGATGTGGCATTATACGGTGAATGGGTTTTGGAGGTGAGACATCATATCAGTTTTGTGTGCTGTAACCCATCATATCATTTATATGATGTAGTAACGAGTACATCTACTCCATGATCTCAAATATAAAGAAGCATTCCCATTTTTCCTTTGGGTACTTTATCCCGTTGTCGTGAATGTGGTTTTGTATCGTAATTCATAAGTCATATGGAGGAAACTTCTTATGTAGGTTCGATAAACGTTTGTGTATTCTATTTGTTCCGATGGAAACTTGGTTGGTTCATGATAAAAGGAATAGGTTGTTTCAACTTAAACGTGAGCGACTCATTGCCCCTGACTAAAACATTTATATGTGCAGTGTTGTTATAAATAAACAGAGGATGAAATAGTCATAATGTTTGCATCGACCTTTGTGTTATCGCTTGAAAATACCGAAGACATGCTAATGAATATATTTTATTTCCAAATGACGTAGATACCTCATCCTTAAAATACAGCGAAACACAACAGTAAATAGATTAAAACTCGTTACCTTTCCAGACTAACGATTATAACATTTCCTCGCAACCTCTATGACCTCAGTTGGTATGAAGCGTTGATTACGCACACTGACGAGATAAACGAACGGTTTGCACCACCACCGCTATACCGCCCATGAGTTACATCCCGGGTCACCAATACGTCAAAGACTCGCGTTCATTGGTCCACGGTCATCACGTGACCCGCATTTGATCACGCTGATTGGCTGTCGCCGCTGGTGACGTCGATGAGGCTCCACAGCTCAGGCGGCGGCCGCCAGCAGCTCCTTCAGCTCGTCAGCTCGCTTCGGGGTGTTGTGCTTCAGAAGGGCGTCGCGAATCTGGGCGCCGAAGTCCTCACACACCATGCTCCAGTTCTTCACGATGCGAGCCTGAAACGGGAGCAAAACTCCATCAAAATTTGCCCAGCATAAATAAGATGGCTGGCGACTGCATGTCGGAGTACCTATTCAAAAAGTAACGAACTAAAAAGGCACACTCAGCGAAAAAGTCAAGCGCACCTCCACCTGTTCTTCACGGTAATGACCGAACGAAATCCCAAGCTCTGTGACTCACAAAGCTTAAAAAAGACCACAAAACTTCACTCCGGCTCAAACCCAAAAATCGTATTTCCACACCCCTTCTCAGGCTATCCTGTAAATCCATCTATCTCCCGTCACTAACCTGAATGAAGGCCTGCGTGTCCTTGGCGTGTCCCCCGATATTGTCCGCCAGCCGCGCGCGCTCCTCAGCGCTGAGGGTCTTCTCCCAGAAGGCACGCACCTGACTCAGGTCTGAGTCGAACTCATCGAAACGGTCAGCGTCCCCGGCCACCTTGGGCCGGGTGGCCACCTGCTTGGCGCGGGGACACTCCTGAGGTCCGCTGAGGAACGGGTGGCGATGTCAGTGGGGAAGTCAGGCTGAATTCAGGTGATAATGAGCCATACATAGACCGGAGGTATACAGAGGTCTATGATAGAATATAAATACTCAGCCGAGATTGGCGGATGAAACGAATAACGCGCATTCAGAAGCGCATATTGTGGTAAGCTTGGAGCTATTTATCACATCGGCGGCGGAACGGGGAGGGCACCGGGGCACCGTGCCCCCCCCCCCTTTGATTTTGGCATTTTAACACTAGCCCTATGGGCGTTGCATGGAAAGAATGGGACCAAAAGTCGGCAGCGCCCCCCTTAATTGAAGGTGTTCCGCCGCTACTGATTTATCAATCTAAAGTATCGCTTGTTGCATTGAATTGTTCCGGAAGATCTTAAGTCAGGGAAGCGCTTATTTCAGTTCACTATCAGCAAGTTAAAAATGTGTCGAAGTGATACTGATCACGTCTGCTCGAATAATGAATAGTGTTAATTTACATTTTACACGCCGTTATCCAATGAACAATGGGCAATGGTCAAGTGGTAAAACGTCTGTCCGACATATGTCCCAGTTGTGACCGTTATACAAGTGCAGAGGCCCTCGGTTGAGGCGTTGCAAGACTGCGCCGCATTTAGGCGGAAACCGGTCCGACTTTTCCGACTGTTCGTTATCACTTATTCACCATGTGTCTATTGCTGAATTAAGTATAAGAGAAGGGACGATTGAAGTTCATCTGACTTACAAATGTAGAAACTAATCACCAGCTTATCAGCCGGCTCACCTGAAGCTGTTGGGGAAGTAGTTGGGCGCGTCCGCCTGGTTTCCGTCAACGCACATCGGCCCGTCTCGCTGGTAGTTCTTGACGCGGGCCCGGTACGGACAGTTGACCGGGATCTGGTTGTAGTTAGGGCCCAGACGGTGACGGTGCGTGTCCGGGTACGAGAATAGGCGACCCTGTAAGATAGACACAGGCGTCAGACGGTCTGAGCAGTGTTCGGTGGTGACGAGGGGTATCGGAGGACGCTTTGGTCAAATAATGATCTACTGGAATTGATATCATACACTTTAGGCCACGAATGTCATGATGTATACCTACATTTATCTAAGCTCATGCAGCAGGCTTTCCTCACGTCTCTCCTTTCCCTTTCCCTAAGCATGTCTTGGCTCTGCTCTTTTTCCCTCATTTCCCAAATATCTCCTCCCTTCTTTCTTCCCCTTTCCATATCACTCCTTTCCCTTTTCCTCTCATTTTTTCTTCTTACCTGAAGCATTTTGTCGGGACTGGCCTCAATGCCGGGCGGCATGTTAGCCGGCGAGAAGGCAATCTGCTCCACCTCGGCAAAGTAGTTCTTGGGGTTGCGGTCGAGCACCATCTTTCCGACGGGCAGGAGCGGGAACTGCGAGTGCGGCCAGATGCGCGTCAGGTCGAACGGGTTGAAGCCGCAGCTGTCCACCTGCTCGGGCGTCATCACCTGGATGGACAGCGTCCACGAGGGGAAATTGCCGTCCTCGATGGCGTCGTACAGGTCGCGGATGCTGTAGTCGGGGTCGCTGCCGGCCAGCTCGTTGGCCTTCTCGACGGGAAGGTTCTTAATACCCTGGTCAGTCTGGGGAACAAAGAAAAGTGGCGTTAAAAAAGTGACTGGTATTCGAGTCTCAGTCAGTATTCTCTGGTTACATTACGAATTTGATAAGCGGAGGTAAACCGTTTCAAAAGATACATGTGTAAAGATACACAAACTTGCTAAAGCAAGCTGTCTGAAAACGAGTTTTTAGGCATCCCTATTTGTTTTGATGATAACTATAAGTTAGTTGGAAAATTCAATTCGCAACGAGGTTACCTGGCGGGCACCTGCGCCCGTCATAATCACCCGTACAAATATATACTTTTCATCACATGCCTGACTCAGCACTGCTCACCTTGTAGTGGAACTTGACCCAGTACTCGTTGCCCTCCTTGTTGACCAGTTTGAAGGTGTGCGACCCGTATCCGTTCATGTGCCGGTAACCGTCAGGGATGCCGCGGTCCGAGAACAAGAACGACACCTGGTGCATCGTCTCCGGCCGCAGAGTGATGAAGTCCCAGAACATGTCGGCGTCCTGAACCACAGAGAGGTCACAGCGTTATATGTATTACTGCTGCGTTGGGCACTGATTATGCCGTTCTTAGTTGGGGCCTCTACGTAAAAAGATAACGTTTACCGTTAGTTGGATATCTACGTTGGACATTTGACATTGACATTGAATATTGGACATTTGCAGTTTGCAGTTTGCACGAGTAACTGCGATTAATACATGTTCGGATGGATTTACGGATTTACTTACGCAATGATATCGTGGACAAATAAGGATTTAACGTTTGAACAAATATGACAAGCGCAAAAATCATAATTTGATGAAAGTTAGTTAAGTCGTATTGTGTACGCGGTGCGCAGAAGCATCTCAGTTATCATTGGCACGTCCTAGCTCTTTCGAGTACGTCACTAAAAAAAGCAAATAAACACAACCCTACCTTCAGGTGCGTCGCCGGGTTCCTCTTCTGGGTGTGGATGAAGCTCGGGAACATGATGGGGTCATTGATGAAGAAGATGGGCGTGTTATTGCCGACCAGGTCCCAGTTGCCCTCCTCCGTGTAGATTTTGACGGCGAACCCGCGCGGGTCGCGCACGGTGTCGGCAGAGCCGCTCTCGCCTCCAACCGTGGAAAAGCGGATGGCCAGCGGCGTCTTCTTGCCGACCTCGGAGAACACGGAGGCGCAGCTGTACTGGGTGATGTCGTGAGTGATCTCCAGGTAGCCGAAGGCGCCTGGCGGAAAGGAGACGAGTGAATGAAATGAAGGCATAACTATGCTCGTATGAATGACGCTATGGATGACAGCCTGAATGAAAGGAGAAGTGGTGTTGTTACAGTGGGTATAAATAGCCATTTTCACGATGGGCTATCCGGCGAATGCACCTAATTTGACCAAATCTGCACCAAATCTCTTTTACAGCAAATATCTTTATTTTATGAATTTATCTCAGTGTTTTAATCGATGATACTCTCTGATAATATGAAAAAGCAGGCATATAAGCAATGAGTGCAACCCTAGCTAATAGCTACTAAGAGACACACTGAAGCTAATTTGACCACCAAATCTGCACCTAATCTGTACCAGATGTGCACCAAATGTGTACCAGATGGCCGTCGTGAAAACGGCTATTATAAATGGAGCGCTGTAATGGGGTGGTGGTGAGTAGAGCAATGTTTGTAAAATGCTTTATGAAGATCAATAAAATTTATCGACTAGAAACTGTATGTAGGTGTATTCAATTCGACGATACTTCATTCTAACAACGGTAAAGTCTCCATTTTAATCGAGTGCCTACAACTGTGCTTAGTAATAAAGGGCGTTAGGTTAACAAGTGGACAGTGCAAGTACATTCAAGGTCCCAGCCAACACAGTCAATCGGTTTTAAGTGTCGGCAAACTCATTTGACAGCCAGGTTTGTTGGCTACGCAAACAGCACACTCCACACATTGGCGTAACACTAATGAGTCTGAGACAAAACTTCACCACTTCGACACGTTTACACATTTACGCTTCGAAACAATACCGGACCTTTTTTAATATCCCTTTCAACGTAAATTTGATGGTGTTTATCTACATAGGTCAAGTATCTTACCCAGGGACGGCGCCACAGGGGGGGCAGAGGGGGCAGCCGCCCCCCCAACTCTGAACACTGGGGCCCTCTTTCAGCCAGCAGGTCAGGTATCGACGGAATACTCTCTGGCTATGCAGAAAAAAAAGACTTCTGGGCAGAGCTGTAGAAATGACTTGAGGAGTGGGGAATCAAGCCAAAGGGGGCTTCTCAAGGTGCTGCCGCCAAGATAAAACTTACGGGCTCTGGCCCATGTTTTTGGAAAAGGAGAGGGCCCATCCCAGTCATGACTGGGCCCGCATCGGTGCTGAGATGGTCTTTGGAAGGAGCGCGAGAGCCTGTAAAATGCCTGAGAGGGCCCATACCAGCCGTGACAGGGCCCATATCAGTACTGAGAGGGCCCACAGCAGGCCCCATAACAGTACTGAGGGGCCACCACAAGTTATGTGAGGGCCCGTACCCTGACATATTACTGAGGGTTATGTCAGTCAATGGCAATCATGGAAGGGCCCCCAGCAGTACTGAGAGGACTGTTGCAATGACTAGGAGGGCCCGTACCATACCTGAGAGGGCCCATACCACTCATGCGAGGGCCTGCAGCTGTACTGAGAGGACCCTTGCAAGAACTGGGAGGGCCCGTATCATGCCTGAGAGGGTCCATACCAGTCATTAGACGGCCAACAACAGTGCTGAGAGGGCCATTAAAAGGTCTGGTAAGGTCCTTAGAATGTCTAAGAGAGGGTCCATAGTCATACCAGGCCTCAGAAGCCCCCTAGTATTATAAAAAGGCCCATATCAAGCCTCTGAGGGTCCCTACCAGTCAAGAAAGGGCCTTTACCGGGCTCCAATGGCCATGCCAAACTGAGGATCTACCGAACTTCAGAAGGCTCATACCGGGCCTCAGGGGCCCAAACAAGGCTTCAGAAAGACCAAATCAGGTCTCAAGGGTCAGCCAGGTCTCTGAGGTCTCTACTAGGCCTTAGAAGGTTCATAATAGACTTAACGGGGACCTGACAGGTTTCCGAAGGCCCAGACCAGTCCGCAGAGGGCACCTACAAGGCCTCAGAAGGCCAATTTCAGGCCCTAACAGACCTCGGAAGTCCCGCATCAGGCCACAAAGTACCTACAGGGTGTCTCAAAAGTTCGTTCACAGGTACCAGCCATGCTTTTTTGTCAATAATTCTGAATCAACAAGAAATTAACAGTCGAAATTTTGCATGGGCATTGGTGACAACCTTCCTCAAGCAGTCTCATTGTTTTCAAGTGCATTCGACCCTTCATGAGCTCACAAAAAGGGTTCACCTCTGACCATGGGTCAGGCACGAAAATGTAGGTTGCAAAGTCGGGTATGTTGTGAAACTCTGTTTCAGGAGTAATGAGAATGGTTAAGTCGGAAATGACACATGGCTAAGTGTCGGCGAGGATGAGTGCAACATGATGATCATCTCATAAAAACGGTGGCTAAAATTTTTGAAGGACGAAACCATGCGAGACTAACGGCGTTTTGAACGACCCTCGCACGACAGCAGACTCGTGTTCCGGAAAGCAGCTGAAAATGCGGTCATAACTATAGAAAACTGACAGAAGGTCACAGACAGATGTTACCCATTTTCAAAAAGTGCAGGTCATCGTAAAATAAAGACAAATTATAACTTAAAATTGTTTATAATATCTATAACGCTAATTTTTGGGGACAATAACACAAAAATCGTTAATGCCAAGGACACCTGACCCTCCAAAAGTGTCAGTTATTGTAAAATTTTATCTAACGAAGTTTTAAGAGGCAGATCTGCAGCGAATAATTTTCTTTTAAACACAAAATCCCGATAAAACCACACGATGGACAGGCTTGGGCCGTTTACAAAGCAGAACATCTCCCGAGGAAAACACTCCGCAACCGAGCGAAGGTCTTGGCATGGGGAATGACGAGCGCTTGGAATTTGCAAAATTTGCACAATGTGTCTGAGAAACAGACGTCCGACACATTCTGCTACCATATGATGCGAAAAATTTACTGCTGGCACTTCCCGTTTGTTCAGGACTGGGGTCGTTTTGAAAAGGAAAATGGCGCTTGGGATGTCGGCGCCAGTCATTCATGAAGGAGTTAGCGCCAGAGAATGCCTACAAAATACTCAAGAAGGGTGTCGATGCAAGCTGTCGGCTTTCAGGGAAAATCAGATGTTGCCGGGGAGCTAGTCAAAACTAAATCCGACGCAGAAACTGCAGGGGATTCCCCTGCAAGAGCTTGAAAGCTGGTAACCTTTTATCAGCCTCCGGCAGCTGACGGAGCAACAAAAATCGGTATGGGCAAATATTTTTGGAGATACAGCAAAGGGGTTGGTTTCCAACCTTCTTAATCAGTTGTCAAAGCATGCATATTTGTCTAGTGTACACACAGACACCAAAACCTTATACTTTTGGCCGGTTCTTATATGCTTTATTGGCATGGGAAATGTGTGAACGAACTTTTGAGACACCCTGTATATCAGGTTTCAGAATGTCCATAGTAGGCCTAATGGGGCGTAACAGGTCTCCGAATGCCCATTCGAGACCTCAGAGGGCCCATATCCAGTCTCGGGGGAACATAGGAACTAGGCCTCATAGGGTCCCTATGATATCGAAATCGCCCGCGAGTACGCCGCACTAAACCCTGGCCGCCGGTCAACCTTCCGGGTCAATCGTACCATACTTAAGAGGGCCCATACCACTCATGCGAGGGCCTTTAGGCCAACCTAAGGGCATTACCCGAGGCGCCGATCCTGTGTCATGTGTGTACCGGTGTTTTTGGGCCAGCTCTGTCGAGCCGAGCTCCTGTTTCAGCTACTGTCCGTCCGAGTCACTTTCCAGCCGCGGGAAGCGGGGCATGATAAACTCGAGTATTGAAAACACGCTTTTGTTCAGAATTTTGGCTGCTCAGGCTGATTCAGGTTGTTTACGTGGAATTCGTTGGTCAGGATAGTAAACAGCTTCCAACAAAAAAGGTTACTTATTCATGTTGTCTTGCCTGTTGTCGAACGGCCCCTCGGTTTTCCGCGAATTACTCGCGTAAAGAGCGGCTGATCGCGACGAAACTTTCAGTAATCTCGTGTTAATTAATTTTACACCTATCCTGAAAATTTCATGACCCTGACCCTAGTGTCCTTTGACATGTGACCTACTTTTCGAGACCATGTTTGGCCGGAATCGCGATTCAGCGTATGTCGGCTCGCATCAGCCGCGCGTTTGCAGTCTTTTCGTGGTTTCAAGCGTTCAAACATGGGATATGATGTTGCTCCCATGCATTAGGGTGAGTGTCAAGATCACCGGGAGGTCAGGTCAGGTCATTGACCTTTGATGACCTCGGTTCTCTTTTTTCGAGTTTTACATGTCTCTAGGCTAGTTTTTGGATCTGAATTCGAATTTAGCAACCATTTGAACATTTACGAAGTAATTGTAATGCATTCGTAACATGTTACGAAGCTGTCAGAGGCAGTTGCCACCTACTACGAATACCCGGCAAAGCCCTTACTGGTTGACCTGACCTGACCTGACCTGACCCGACCTGGCCTAAATGCATAGAGACATCATCTATGATCATAACTAACATGATATTCGTGATCATCACCCCGAAAAACCCAATAGCAGCCACCTTTACGACGATCTAACATGTCCCGCTTTTCCCGACTTTTGGCCATTGACCTGACCTGGAAAGTTAGCCGATGACCAAGGACCTTAAAATTGGGTATCATCGGCTTCCTCTCGTCACGGGCAGCACGCTCGTTTTTTTTCTGCGAAGGTCTAGCTTGATCAGGGGCAAAACGGCAAGGGGGGCCAACGGACTCCCGCCCCCTATACGTTCGTGGCTGGAAAAACACCAATACGGGCGAGGGTTAAGAGTGTGTCTTTTCACACAAAAGTTATTGTGTATTTGTGTTATTGTGTATTATTGGGTTTCCGGACCTGTTGATGGTATGCAATAAATACAAAATAAATACAATTGTAGAAGGTAACGGTTGTGGGAATTGTAGGTCAAGGTACACAAAGGCTTGCATAGTATTGACGGTATTGACGATATTTCGGAACGTTTGGGCCCCCATCTTGTTTGGGCCCTTTTTCTGAAAACCTGCCCCCGCAAGGCGAAATCCGTGGCGCCGTCCCTGATCTTACCTACTTAAAAAAAAAAATAGTAGAAAAGAGATCATTTACAACATTTTCGGGTATGCAACTATTGCCATGACAAATAGATCTTACTTTCGCTCATTTTATTGAAGTAAGGACTTTGCATATGCAGAAATAGGCATAATGAAACAATATTTATATTCCCTAACAAATTATATAATAACAACAAAATTTTAAAGGAAAAGGGCCACCTTTAACATGGGGATTGAAACTGAGATAGCCATCTTGTAGCCCGTGTCCGAAAACCTAGCTGTCTACCTCCTTACGGCTGATTTCGGCCTCCATTCGTAGTTATCGGCAATTTTAAAAGAAAATACGCCAGGAATGCGTCCTTATCCCAGGAATGCGTTCTTATCCGACAATACAGCCACCCGCGGCGAGGCTTTGGTTTTTACCAATCAGCTCCAACCAGCTCAGCTTTAACCAATCAGCTTATCTGACACAATCCGACGAGTCTGTCTTCTGAACGCTGATTGGCTTGAGTGTGACGTCATCGCTATGCCATCATACAGTAGGTGCCGTAGAGAGTATCAACATAGTACCAATATGTTAAATAGTTTTAAATACTTTTTCGCGAATTGTGCACTTCTGGCACCAGTTTTAAAAAGAAAATGAAAAATAATAATGTCAAAATGAAAAACAACGATATCTTCATATTTCACGAAGGTGGCCCTTTTCCTTTAAATTTTGTAAAATGTAAACAAAGTTTTATTGCTCCCCGACTAGCCCCCATCACGCTCACCTGCCCCCTTGGCATGCACCACTCGTTCGGGGATTCGCTCGCGGTCAAAGTGCGCCATCTCGTCAATGAAGGCCACATCCTGCAGCAGAAGCGGTCCACGCTGACCGATACTGACCGAGGCGGTCTTCTTTCCCACCGGCTGGCCGTGGCCGGTGGTGATGATTGTGCTGCCCTCCTGCAAGAGATGGCAGAGGAGCAGGTCAGCCAGAGGGTCCACGTCCGTTTGTTTGTTTATTTGTTAGTTTGTTTAGTGAATATGTCGAGCGAAGACACTCGAGTCGTAGGTCACTTGCGGCATGTGCAGTGTGTACCGCAGTCAGTGAGGACAAACGTTGGCTCAGGCTAACAGCCTGGCAAGACGGCGCAATAAGAAACGTATTGCATAACAGCATACATTCCTAATTCCTATGGAGCGTGGCATCACTTAAGACACATGCGAATTGAGTATTCCTGTGCAGTTGAACTCGGTTAACCCGCGCCCCGCTGGGGGGGGGGGGGCAGAATCTGCCCCCCTCCCGTTTTTCGCCAATAACTTCTAAACGCGTTACGCCAGCGACGTCAAACTTTCAGTACCTTATCATACATCAATTTGACACGTTCCCTGAAATTTGAGCGAAATCCGTCGGAAAATTTTTGAGAAAATGACGTTTTAGTGACGTCATGTTCGCCATTTTCGCCTCAAAAATCGCAAAATTTCAGAAGCCGCTAAGATCTTCATTTTCAAAGGAATCAAGACGTAACAAAAAGGTTATACGTGATTCTACTTTGTCTATCAAATGGCTATCTCGGTTTTTTGAAAATTTTGGATTTTGGCCCAAATTTGTTCAAAAAAACGACTTTTTTTGGAAAATAATTATAAAATCCAAAATTGTGAGTGTATTGAAAAAACGGAATATATGTCAGATAGGTGGTCTATGTGCATCTACATACCAATTTTGAGAAGAATCGGTTCAAAAATGTGGGAGTTATTCAAAATTTTATGACGTCACGACACACAAAATTTTTGAAAAATGAATTTTTGGGAAGTTCTAGACCTCGTACGGAAACAAAAATAGCACCATTCGATTTGCCGTGAAAAACTGCATCAGATAGACACCTTTTTAGGCCTTAACAACCAACTTCAAAATTTGACCTCACTTGACCTGACCTTGACCTGACCTCGACCTGAAATTCATCCAGAGGTGGTCCATATCACTAATTGAGTGTGTCTATTGAATTCTATGAATAAAATGACCCATAAAACATGTGTCGCACATGCCCTTTTCTATATTTTGTTTTTGGTGACCTGACCTGACCTGACCTTGACCTTGACCTTTGAATGATATTGTATGCAAATAATATTGTCTTGGTAGCCTAAGAACCCGTTTTGGGCAATCAGTCTCAGTCCATTCTTCGGCAATTACGGTGCAAGGCCGATACTGTAGAAACTTGCATTTTGTACCCTTGACCTGACCTTGACCTGACCTCTGACCTACTTAAACAAAAAAATTGAGCTCTTTAGATTCGCCTCGTTGAGAGCTTTCGATTGCCGTTTTCCCCGTCTTTCTACGACCATCGGTTCGGAAGTTAGACAGGGGGCAGAATCTGCCCCCCCCCTCCCCCAGCAGGGCGCGTATGGCTGAATAGCCCAGCGGGGCGCGGGTTAAAGAGACCCTCCCACCTTCAAAAAAGTTTATGAATTGGCATGAAAGTGATGTCGCTCGGTTCAGAAAGAGCGAAGACGAATATCTACCAAATTTCACCGAAAAATATTCACCGGTTTTCAGGATATTAGACTTTTACTTTTGTTTACTTTTTGGGATCTCCGCTGTTCCTAGCGACTTTATTTGGAAGCAATAGTTTGGCAGCTGAAAGTGCGGCACTTGTTGCGCGCAAAGAAGCATATACCACCGCGTGCTACAAGACGTTTTAGTCAAACATTTAAAAATCGTTAGATATCTGCGCTGACGTCACACATTCAGAGGGGTATTCCTATGCATTAGCCCCTCTGAATCAAAATGATGCAATTTTGAAATTCAATATTTCCGATTTAAGGCATTTCTCGATGTTGTGAGTGCCGAAACCGGTAATTGTGAGCCAGGGACCCCATTTTGGCTATCTCAACTCAAATCTAATGTTAAGGTGGGAGGGTCCCTTTAAAGGCGAAGCCATGCTAATGTAGACAGCCATGCCAGTAAGGCATGAATGGGAGTTAACCCGCCGTCGTTTTTGCAAGTCCGAATACCAGTGGGCGTTGCGGTTGTGCGTCACACTTATTGCACAATCGATAAATAGGGTAAGATGGTGGAATGATACGGTTTCCAGTCAATACAGACGAAGATCAGTCATTCATTATGAGTTGAGTATCGAGATTACTTTCTCTGGTTTACTTTACTATCTTCCCACATATTAGACAGTTTTCTAGTGGTTTTTATCATTAGAGCGCGGCTTGCCAACAATACCTACGTTAGACAGCCATCGCTTGCCTCAGCCGTCAGCTGACGGAAAGTCTGTGAGTGGCTCCAGCGCTGCAGTTCCTGCTCTTCTGACGTCAGAGTGACGTCACCCACGCCGTGATCGGAAGATAGGAAATTCCGACCGCAAACGGAGGGGGGAGGGGCAACCGTCCGGTCGACTCGACCGGCGCGTGCCTCGCTTTTTTAGCGGACTGTCGGAAATCAGGCCTAGCATCCCGAACGAGACCGATATATCTATGCCTACGCCCTACACCGTGTGGGTATATGCCGTTCATTTAGGTGATGTAAAGTGTACTTACATCCTCTTTCTTTGCAAGTGCAAAATGTGAAGGCTGCATGAAACGTGCGGTTTTTCGTTTGCAACAATAATTATAAACTCGTCAATGCTGGACGTTTGCGCCTCTTGGAACAGCAAACTCTGATCATGCATGATCAGAAACTGCATGCAGTTTGATCCTCCTTATTCTTGTTGAATGTTTACGATTACATAAAGGTACACATCACTGCACAATTCAAAGATCAGTAGCGGTCGGCCCCTTTTCAGCTTTCTTTACGGGTACACGTTCAATTTCGATGCTGGCGTATATGTAAAATATGTTGAATTTCAATGTCGAATATGGACAAATACAAACTAAAGTAACATTGCCTACTTTCACAACCGCAAAAATGTGTTTAGAAAAGACAAATCAAGGGCAATTATACGTAATTAATAACTACGCCTGCTACTTACATAGCTATAAATACGCCCGGGTTTCAAGACCAACAATTGACGAGCACGACATTACCGACATATGCAGCCCTTAATATGGGGTTTGTGTAAGGACAAAAGTGACTCAACCAGGAAAACGACAAGGAAGATTCATACATATAGCTCTTCGTGAGTTTCCTTGCGCCTTGACTACATTCTCAACCCGATTTGTGGTGTAAAGAGACAAATGAGAGGTAATTTGAACGCCTGCTCGGCGCGCTCGCGCAAGCACGCACTCACATTCACTGCAGGACTGAACGGTGTATGCTTGTCACTTGTTGTCAAGAGACAAAGCTGTTCGCTTTGGAAAGACTATGTCCTTACAGAACTTACGAGATGAGCAATTGAGTTGCGGTATATTTACCATATAAAAATCAATGCAAGGTAAAATTCGGCCAAATCGAATATCATAACACACGCATAAATCTATCGATTAACAATTGTTAATGCGAACAATGTTATTGTTCGCATGATTTAGGGTGTGAGTCGGGTTAGGTAGTGTGTGTGTGTGTGCGTATGTGTGTTTTTATGACTTCACCTGTAAGTGGGGGTTGCCCTGTTGGTGATCGAATAAATAAATAAAAAATAAATAAATTGAGGATAACTTCCATAAAAATGAATTCCTCATTAATATCTGCTATTATATCTACAACCGTAAAAGCTCGCACTTATAGCTTTGAAGTTATCCTCACTTGTCTCCTAATTTGTCGGCGTATGTTTACCTCTCCACTTCGCCTACACCCAAGGGGCACCCTTGGCCCCTAGCCGTGGGGCGAGGCGGACTAAAGCCCATGCGACAGTCTTGCTCAATGCTCATTGTATCACGTGACACAGCACAGTGCGACACTCGCGGTATGAACTGAGAAGCGCGAGTCACTTCTCAAAACCATTACAAGTCTCGTCGGATCCCACTCAATCGCTATGTCACGTCGTCAGGTCAGGTCAGGGCGGACCCCAAACCGCGACGGTGGGTGACCATGACCCGTGCCGTGCCGCAGCAGAGGTCAACTAGGTTGGAATGGGATCAGCTGGTGGGCCTACAGTAGTGCGGTGAGGCGACAAATTGATAAATAAATGGTCACTGTGGCATCACCGGCTGTGAAAGCAGAGAACGGAACAGACGGAGAGACTTCAACTAAAGTGCAACTCTCTAGATTCATGATCCTGCCGTCGTAACATAATGGTTCCATTGGTGCACCTCTCGACGGGCCCCCGTGCAGCGCAGCACCCCTCCCCTCCCTCTCCCCTCCCTCTCCCTCCCTCCCTCTCGTGGTCACCAACCCGGTGGCCGCGAAAGCTCCCGCTCCGTGACCTTGGCAGACTGCAGGGGTTGCATCGACGCCATGCAACAACGCTGCAACACGGCGCTCCGTCCATGGAACCGGGTATGCAGCGCTGTAGCGGCAAGAGCGGCACAGTACGGGAGGTTTGCGGTCTTAAAGGGTCTATGGAAGGCTTTATGACACAGTAGGCGTGAAATGGAATTTAACCCTCGCCGGACCTATTGGTTTTCCACATACGCGCCGGCCGAGGGGGGGGGGGGCGGGTACGACCCCCCCTCGCCGTTTCGCCCCTGGTGGAGCTAGCGCGTCGCGGAAAAAACGAGCGTGTGCGCCGTTACGAGACGCAGAGATTAGTACCCGATTTTAAGGTCCTAGGTCAACCGGTGACCTCTGAGGTCAGGTCAAGTGCCCCAAGGTACGGTTCAGTTTTTGGTGAATAACTTCGCAAAAAACGGCCGCAGAGCGCCGATTTTGGCAGCATCGTGTTCGTCTCGCTCAGGCGCGTCGAATGGTATACTTTTTGTCCGGGTCAGGTCAACTTGGGGTGTTGACCTCAGGTCAAGGTCAGGTCAGCACCCCCAGGTCACGAAGTTGGTCGAAAGAGGTCATGTCGCATATCATTCGATTCGGCAGGTCTTCTTGAGTCCATTGGTGGCTTTCCCGACTCGCTAGCTCAATTTGATCAAGAGTTATTGACGAAAAACTAATATGACCTTGATGACGTCATAAATGACGTCACACAAGGTCAACATTGCAAAAGTGACGCATCTTACCTTGCAAGGAGTGCATAAAATCACGATTCTGTGTGCTTGAGATAGTTGGAGATCGTTCCCGGCGCCAGAATAGCAGTTTTCATTTTTCCCCATTGACTTATAATGGTGAGGTCACGAAAATGACCTGACCTCATATGACCTTTAGGAAAAATCCGAGATATACAAGTTGTGGGACTCATAATGGATACTAGATCCTGCAAGTTTCATTTCCCTGTGACATCTCCTCTGGCAGTGAGGGCGTTGCGAAGTTGCGACATCTGAAGACCGTGCAGAGGTTCACTTATGACGTCATAGGTCAGTGACCTGACCTGACCCAAAAATGCGGTTAGTGTCAAAAGATGCGGCTTGGATCAAAGGTCAGGAATGCCAAGTTTCAGCTCTCTATCGCCAGCGTGTTCGGAGCTATCGCGAAAAAAAAACCTATGGGGGGGCGGCACCCGCCCCCCCCCCCTCGGCCGGCGAGGGTTAAGGTGTAAAATAACTATATGGTTTCTCGTGCCATGGAGGAAGTAAATTACCTATTGTCACTTAATATACGGTTATTGTCATTCATTGTTTACGTCACTATATTTCCACTTAAAAGTCATTAGGTTATGACCATTGCATCGAAGTAACAAAACTATGCTCATCATTATCCCTCAGCAAGAGCTGGCAAAATATTAAGTTAAATAATGCATTGCATTTCAACATACTCCGTGGCAAATAAACCACAAGTTGGTACCACGTCTGAAAGTGACTAACTTAGTTAGATACACGTCATTTCGCAATTTGCAATAATGACAGAACAGATTAACGTTTAATTGTCCACTTTTAGCGTCAACCACAACCCACGGACTGCACCTGGGAGCCGTGGCTTTCTTTTAGCCCCCGGCTGTATTCTCATGGCTTTCCTGCTTCATGTAACGCCCACAGTCACACGCTGGACAGCATGCAGTGCCGCAATTAAAACACAAAACTGAACTGTTGCGCAGCATGAATGGAACTAGGAACACTGTGCACTTCTCGACTTCTGCGGGCGCGGCAATCCACACCTCGCTTCGAAACTCATAGTGGCGTAGATAATTAGCAACAGCTCAGTCCGTTGCCATCTGCTGTAGCTTTTCTCTGCTGATTTGCAGTGACCTGTGCTGACCTCTCACCGCCTCAGGCGCGCACCTGTGTCTCTCCCTTTCACCGGTTAACATCGTCCCCGGTCAAGCAGCCCCCAGCCTCTGATCATTTCCTGGCATAGGCGGCGGAACAGGAGGAGGCACCGGGGCACCGTGCCCCCCCCCCCTTTGATTCTGGCATTTTAATATTAGCCCTATGGGCGTTGCATGGAAAGAATGGGACCAAAAGTCGGCAGTGCCCCCCCCCCCCTAATTGAAGGTGTTCCACCGCCACTGCATTCCCTGGTGGCCTAGGGCTGAATGGCAGACAGTCCGTGGGGATAGACAACGTTCTACGATGACGTGGCATTATCTGGTCAGCAATCCAGCCGACAGCCGCGGCACCAGCCACAGTGGCAGTGAGTGAAAGGCTCTCCGTGCCAGGGCCAGCGGGGAAAACGGCACGCCCACCGACGTCGGGTCACGGCATTCTACCGACAGCACGCCAACTTGCAGAAGGTTTGACAGGCAGACAGACAACATTAAAAATACATAAGAAGCATCAAGGACAACATGAGAGCCAACAGTATATCCCTTCAATATTATCAAATATTTGACATGCATGCTGATTCTGCAAACGGACGCGTCCCATGCATGCCGCGAAGCCATACATTTCACACCAGTTGATTCGAAGCATGACGTTAAGATCTAGTTGAATCAAATGTTTGAAACGCTGTCATCAGATGCGCTGATAACCTTTACAATGGGTACATGCAGGTGTTAGACCTTAAAATAACCGGATAACCGTGAACAATGAACGTTCACGACTTAGCCCGCATTTTTCCTGGCCTGTCTCTGGAGGAACCGGTGCCGGGATTATCAGTCATTCCGTGCCGTGTCAGACGCCACGGCTGCCAGACCGGCACGATCAGCTTGGTGTTCGCGAGATATATCTGTCAGACCAGTATAGCATGGGGTAACGGGGATGTATGCCCGACCAGTCTGTTATGTATAGGAATACATGTCTATCCCACCAGTTTGGAACTGTGTCGTTGCCGTCTCCTCATTGTATGTATGCATGTATGCATGTATTTTTGTAGATATGTATGCATGTATGTATGTATTGATGTATGTATGTATGCATTGACATCAAAAGCCTTCCACATATAGCGTGGCGATTGCTGTCAGTGCACCGGCTCGACAGGTCATCGGCCGAGAAAAACGGTTGAGCGTGCAGCTTATGACGTCACGGAAAGAAATCGGAGTCAATGCGACTGTTCAATTTACGAAGAATAAAGAAATTCGAGTGTGGGACCATAAAAAATCGGATAATGCTCTCGAACGGCCTTTTGGACCATCCTAAGCCACCAACGAAATGCATCCAGACCTACGAGCCGCCCCCGACCATCCGCACGCCGTTATAGACCATGTAAGCATGAGCGGAGCAGACCATCCCAGATCATCTCGAGAGGGTCCCATATCATTGGGAGAACACCTCAGACCACCAGGAATGCATTCAAGGTCATCAGTGGACCATTCCAGACCAACACGAGACGATCGCACATCATTGGGAGTACGCCTCAGACCATCAGCAGCCCATTCCAGACCATCGGCGGACTATTCCGTAACATAATTCGCATATTCCGTAACACCATCAGACCACTTGGCACCATCAGTGGGCCATTGTAGACCATCGGCAAAGCGAGAGACCGTCGCAGTCTCCCGGCTCCACTCCGGCCGTCACGGTGTGAAAAACACGGCCGTCACGCTGTGAAAAACACGGCCATCACGAGCCGGGCTGGGTCGTGAGGTGGACCGGCGGCGGTGCGAACCACGCAGGAAGTCGACGACCGACGGTCAACGAACGGAATCATCCGCGGGTGAGGGAGCGGGTATAAGGAATCTTCATGGAAATTGGGCATGTTGGTAGTGCGTAAAAAAATAGAGCTGAGACGATTAGGAAACAAACTGTCGCAAAAATCGCAACTATTCGGAAACGTTATGTGGTGCAAAAAGCCTAAAATCATCCAACCAATGGTTATTTTGTTCTTCAATCTTCACGCTATACTTCCTTCGCCTGCCTCTCGATCAATCTTCCCTCTCCACCACCCACAACGTTCCCATCAGTTTTGCAGCAGCAGCACTGGTCGCTCTGGCCAGGACCCAATCTGCCTTCACCCGTTGATTAGGTGACAATAAACATCAGCTATTATCAGCGACCATGGACAGCATCACTGTCAGCAGCCAGCACGTACGGAGCAGATTGGCGAGAAATAACGGTGGTCGGGGTATGTCATAACTACACTCGGTCTAATGACGCGCGCAGTCGAGCATGTTATGGTAATAACACATAACTGGCATTTTGTGCGATGGCTCGTCGGGTTTGTGGTTTCGCTTTTAAATCTCGGGAACAGTGCACGGTTTCTCCTACATCGGCTATCTATCTGTTGCACTATCATCCCAGTCTAATCTCTTTCTGTCTATACTATCTCCCACTTGCTCCCCTCTTTCCTTATCTTCATCCACTTCATCTATCCTCAGCCCACTAATCTGCTGACTACTGCATTTCAACGCATCTTTCAAATACCGCACGTTTTTGTGCGTGTTTACTCATCACCCCAGTCTCCAGATCAGACTCAATGACATCGGTCGAATCTCCTCCCGTTTCCTCTCTTGGCCAATCAGTTCACGAGACGGTCCGATTTCGCCACACTCCAGAGCGTTGTTAGAAGTGTGCTTACGTCACAGCCCGGCTGCCGTACTGCTGGAGACACGTGGACTGGACGTTTCCTTCCCCGGCTGGTCTGCACTGTCACCGTATCGCACCGCGGCGGTTCCGGCGGCGGGCGGCGCATACGTCACAAGTGCGAGTGTCACTTCCTAGAGCAGAAAACGTAGTGACATGTCTCCGTCTATCTAGAATGTTTAGTGGTGGTGTGCCACATCCTTTAGAGCAGAAAGCACGGACTAAATGGTGTTGGTGTGAACTGTGAAGTCACAGAGTTGCCGTCACACTTTGTCCATGAGGCGATTGTGACGCCACCACCGCGCCGTCATAAAACTCCCATTAGGGATTGGAAGCCTGTTCGCACGTGAGCCGATTTGTGAATGGGATGTTTGCTCACTGCTCAGTCGACTACCGCCGAAGCCAGCGAATTCAAGTGATCACCATGCTAATTGCTAACGTGTGTGGGCTGGGTGTGACAAACTACGTCAGAACGCCGCACATGTTGCACAAAGAATCAGCCATCGCGTGGCAGTGGGTGGAATACCCAACAGATTAGTACCATCTACCTGCCAGCTGACGCCCATTCAGCAAATACTGTTGTGGAAATCCATCCGGCCTTCCCATCACCTTCAGGGGTTCCCCTCCCAGTACCGGCTTTCCTGAGAGGCTAGTGTATACATAGAGATGCAGTCGAGAACCATCCTTGTTCAATAGCTTCGGGCGGTACCAGGAGGGCTCAGGGCTGCACAACAGACGAGCTCTTGTGTGCGTTGAAATGTATAGTGTAGTGCCTACTAAGAAAGCCTATGACTTTGCTCGGCTCATCGCCTCGGATACATATTCACTAATTATACCATTCATGACCCTCCTAAAAAGGTAGTGGCAAAACAGGGATGTTGTTTTTTACTCAACCATATATCATACCTCTTTTTAGTACGCGAAACTGAGGCTGTCCTGAGACAATCAACCTGCGCGACACCACCAAATAACATTCGAAATTAAGATTCCATAAAACATCTATCATTTGATATCCTCATTCATGCAATGTTCATCAAATGCGTTTGCGAAATCAAATGCGTTTGCGAAATTTGCCTTCATCGCCGGGAGAGGCATGGTTCAATCATTGCAATGTCGTACGGAACTTTGAAGCCAATGGTTATTCTTCTCCGCCCAGTTCTCACTTCAATCTTTTCGGTGAATCAGAGTTCAGAGCCGTCTTCCTTGCAGATTATTTGGAAGCATATCCACCAATTCAGGGCTCATAAGAAGCAGCGAGCCATCAGCAGGGCTGCAGTATCCTGAACAGATACTCCCTGTCCATCAGACTGTCCTCTGGAAGATCGGTGCAGTAGACCGCGTTACAGATGGTATCTCTGCCAAACTTGGCCCGCAGTGAGTCCGGTCTGAGCAGCTGGGCCAGGTGCGGGTCGCGCGGGCCGGCCAGCTCTCGGACCACCTCCACCGTATCCTGACCCTCCACCGCCCCACTGAGCTCCAGGGCCACCGACGGGCCCGAGCTGAGCTGGGCGATCATCTTGCCGCACTCTGGCAGCACGCCGCGGTACACCTCGAGCAGACGGCTCGCCTCCGCGCCGGTCAGCGTCATCATGTCCAGAGCCGTCACCGTCACGCGGTGATCGGCCTGGATGGCGGCCAGCACGTCACCCAGCCGCCGCTCGGCCAGCACGTGCGGCAGGATGACGCAGCACGAGCCGTCAGCCGAGAGGCGAGCTGACGTCAGCGGCCGGGCGTCGCCAGCGGGTGGGAAGAAGAACCGCAGCTCGCGGACGGCCGCCTCGCATCCTGTTGAGCCGTGCAGACAATTGTTATCGAGTTCGGCGCCCAGCTGGCGGCGCACGGTGTCGCAGCACTCCTCGCTGGCCGTCAGACAGTCAGTGGGACCCATCAACTCCCTCCAGCGCTGCACGGCGTCCTGACCTGTCAGCTGCAGCACCACACACGGCCCAGCAGTCAGATAAGCCAGCTCCTCGGCCGCCTGGCAGTGCTGCTGTGCCTCCGAAAAGAACACGCCCGCCTCGTGCCGCTCGAGCTGCACCATGCGCGCGCGCGTCACCCGCAGGCCCTGCTTCTCGATGATTTGAACGATCTTCCCTAGGTGCTGAACGGCAGCGGGCTTCACCAGAGCCAATGTGGACTGGGAGTCGTCCTCGAATATGTCTCGTGTCTTCTTGTTGGCGTACTCGACAAGCCGCATGTGTCGGCCAAGAACCGTAACCAGGTTACCCAGCGCTAGATCACTGCAGGTGACCGTCGGAACCTGGGTTCTCTTTAGATACGTTCGGTTGGTTCTGCGGTCAAATAGCTCTACGGAGCTGTCCTCTGTGTAAAAGTAGAGGACCATGTCACGAGTCAGTGATGACTCCGGGTCATACCACTCGGCGTTGAAGGCGACTCGATCTTGACTGGCCGGTTGAAACGGTGGCATGACTTTTATTTTTCACAGACGTTTGAAACCGTAGGTGCCAATTAAATGACTATATAGCTTTCGAAGATGAAGTGAGAAATCAGTGTTTGGTTGCTAAACTCATTGTTCTTTAATCGTTTGCAGATTAGTGGTCTTTCCGGAAAAGGAGTCGACGAAATCATCAACTATTCAATAATAAACGTAAGCACTACGACCAAGCTCCTTGGTCAGGCGCCTTGTATCTTTGTTAAATTCATCCGATGTCTCATCACGGAAAGCTTTGAAGAACTGCGCCAAAAATATAAATTCAAAAGATCACAGCTTTCTCTGTGTTCTTTTTCAAAAGAACACTTTCAAAAGAACCAACAAAAGAACAATATGTTTTAGGGCCTTGAGCTTTCTGAACAAAGCGAATTTTGCGATCAAGGGTTCTAAATTCACGCGACGACCATCAACAAGCACCACATTCCAAAAGACTGGCATGAAAACACGTAGGGACGTTTGTATAAAAGCAGGTAAATGTGTTCGGCAATACGAAAAGCGTTTGCATCGTAAAAAGCTACAATGATTATGCATATAATATACCTAGTGTTCAAATGTTCATTGATGTAACCCTATAGATTGAAGAAAGTGATAAACTGATTTCGTATCAGCCTCATCAACCGATGACAAGTCAGATTGTAGGTAGTAAATGCAAATACTTTTGCCTACAAATTGTTCATAGAAAAAAAAATCTGGCTCTTTGAATCCACACTGATATTCAACAATGCTTTCAGATTTTCGTCAACTGCCATGAAATGTGCTGTTGCATAGACGTTCCTCACAGGATAATGACAGCTACTCGTCAGACCGGTTGGTGCATTGTCTTGACCGGTTTGCTTCAGTCCCCGTAAGAAAAAAATAATAAATAACTCTTATCGGTCATCACATTGCACCAGGCGAAGACCATGCTGGTCTTTCCAGGAGATTGGCTAGCATCTCTAGGCCAAGGATAACATTCGAAGATGGTGCTATCCACAGACATTGCATAGCATAATGAGGGACGTTTCAACAGGCGACATATTTGTTTTATCAAAATGAATTCAGGGATAAAATAGCAATCAAGAAACACAAGTGGAACGCTAAAACATTAGAAATTTGATAAACTTTGCTCTCAAGCACGCCTCAATCAATATAGCACAAACGTCAATTGTTAAACCGTATAGATTATCGCACATATGTATTTATCATTATATAATGTACCTACAGTCTCAATGTTCGTGTGATAATCACATCTTTCCCGGAGAAAATGCCGGAAAATATTCGGAGCCTTACCAGAATCTGAGGAAAATGCTTGCGTAGTGACTGTGAAACTAGTTCATTCGAAGATTAAAGACACCTTCAGGAAGTAGCTAGGTGACGGAGTATCATACGATACGAGTTTCATATTCAGGTATTGGTGCAGGTGCCGATGGGGATCACACTTTTACGCATAAATTATGAATCAGTTATTTGTAAATTACATAAATATCGAGTCAATTTCGCCAAGGTTCAAACATAATGGCCGTTTTCACGACGGTCATTTGGTACACATTTGGTGCACATCTGGTGCAGATTAGGTGCAGATTTGGTCAAATTAGGTTCAGTGTGTCTCTTAGTAGCTATCGGCTAGGGTTGCACTAGTTGCTTGTATGCCTGCTTTGTCATATTATCAGAGAGTATCATCGATCAAAACACGGAAATAAATTCATAAAATAAAGATATTTGCTGTAAAAGAGATTAGGTGCAGATTTGGTCAAATTAGGTGCACTCGTCGGATAGCCCGTCGTTAAAACGGCTAATATCTAACATATCTTCAGCCCTCACATTATTTAAATACTTGAGATGGTGATGTAGGCGGCGCATTTTACCCGGTAATCTGTTTTCAACAATCAATTTATCTTAGCAGCTTTCTTAATATTATTTTTCTAGCATCGTTGCACAATAACCATTTATTTGCAAATTATAAGCCAACTAAGTTTCAACATAGCCTGGATGGAAAAAAATGCTGATCAAAATGCATATAGGTAGTTCCGAGTTCGTCATGTAGCAATCTTGCTCACATTAGCCCACAATTAGATCGAGCAGTATCACTAATATTTTACCAAAAAAAATGAGCATTTTTGGTGTCGGTTTTAACCAATCGCACTGAATGGGGCAGCCATTACCAATAAACCTTTCAAAAGCAAGGCGCCATGTTCCCCGCCTCAGCACTGTCCCAGTGTCCAAAACTCCGCCATCAGACGGACAGGACAGCGGACCCACCTTTGCGGCAGCCTCCTTGAAGATGTTGAGCTGCTCGGCAGCCTTGTCGCGATCGTTGTTCACCATGGCGGCGGCTCGGCGGGCGGGTGCGAACTGCGCGGCGGATGGAGCGTGTCAGGGAGCTCTGCTAGCGGCAGGCTCTCGGCTTGGAGTGAAGGGCCGGCCGACCGGTCACGACTCTATACCGCCTTCCCACCGCCGCGCCGCGCCGGCCGGGAATGGTCGACCCCAGCACTGCTGCCCCCCCCCCCCCCATCTCCGCACCGACGGACAAGTCGGCAGGGACCGTGCCATGAGCTGCATGATGCAAGAACCGGACAGCGATGGAGGAAGAATAAGACGCTATTCCCGTCCAACGGTTGGTGGCGAGGTGGCGATGAGGCAAAATGATCGGGCGCTTATGTTACATAATAATGAAGACTCGAGAGTGTAGTTATATTTGGAATTGTTGATGGATTGTTAAATTAAAAAGCAAAGACTCGAAAAGGTACGAAAAAGATCGTAAGCTAGAATATTGGATTGAATATCACCTATATCTCAAGACATTTCACCTGAGACAGCACTGAATGAAGCAAAGCTGCACAAAAAACGAGTACTTCTCACTTGCCTCGTGTGTATCTCGAAAAACTGAGCCCAAGTTCATTTGAATTCGCTTGAGTTCGCATCTCTGATTTTTCCACCTCGTGCTTTCAACACATGAAATCCGCAACATCATCGTGTTCGGTAGTTAATTAATCAGACAAGTCTATTTTTAAAGCTCAGCATTTTGCAGGCGAGTAGCTTTAAAACTGGATAAATCATGGACTAGCCTCTGCGATGGTTGGGTAGTCTGGTGAGGCGCCCACCGAGCTACCGGATCCACCATAACGAGCTCTGTTGGCGAACGTTAGAATATGCGCCTGGACATGAGTCGATTGGTTGAATCGAAAACAGTGAACAAATATAATTTTTCATCCATGTGATTTATGTTTGCGTTTCACACTGAGTTTGAGTGACATGAGCGTTTAGAATGAAACATCCAGCAACGAAAAAAAGCATCTCCGAGTAATGCAAACAGCTAGAAGGGAGCATCTCACAAAACGGTAGGTATCTAATTGTCCTGATAAAACGTTTTAGAAAATTAAATAAATGATTTAGTCCCCACTAGAGTTGCAAAATTTTCCCAATGGCCTGCTACCGGCACCGCCCCGCCCCACAAAAATTTTCTGGGATACCGGCATGCTACCACGCCACAAGCAAAAAAAACCGCCAAATTACCGGCATACTAAAAAACCTGCATTCTTGTTTCTGGCTTACCCTTACATGAGATGCCACATTTTGGCAATTTCAGTAACCGCCCCACCCAGCAGCCACCCATTGTCCAACCAAAACTACCAGCATTACTAATTGGTTGTGCTTTTGCAACATGAATGAGTATTCTTCCTTTGATAAACCACAGTAGATTCTTGACAATTCCAATTAGAGCCAAACCTGTGAAATGCTGAGGTTCATGTGTTACCCCTACTCTTAGCAATGGAACTTCTACCACAAGATGTATTTTGCAGTGGCTAAGATTGCTGTTAACAGTTAATACAATTCAATAGCCTCTTAGGGTCTAAAGTTTGAATCATATGCTGATAATTTTTTGGTGGAAAATCAAAAATACCGGCATGCTACCGGCAAGACATGCCAGATACCACAAAAAACCTGCGGTAGTGAAAAATTACCGGCATGCCGGTAGTGCGGTAGGGAAATTTTGCAACTCTAGTCCCCACCATCTGAAGTCTTTCAGATAGTTGTAACATGTCGGCGTGCTCCTATAATAGCGTATAGCCTCAGCAGGAAATAACGTGCATGGATAGCGGTGAAGACGGCGTTGGTGCGCTTTCTAAGTCATACAAAAAAAAAAAACGCAAGAAAACTACCCATACCTCAAAAACAACGCGACCATACATACGCCACCATATTGCTGATATAGAACAGTCTATGACCTGACTTATAAATGGAAAATTGAACGATCATGATATGAAGAGAGGAAGAGAGAGAGAGAGAGAGAGAGAGAGAGAGAGAGAGAGAGAGAGAGAGAGAGAGAGAGAGAGAGAGAGAGAGAGAGAGAGAAAGAGAGAGAGAGAGAGAGAGAGAGAGGGAGAGAGAGAGAGAGAGAGAGAGAGAGAGAGAGAGAGAGAGAGAGAGAGAGAGAGAGAGAGAGAGAGAGAGAGAGAGAGAGAGAGAGAGAGAGAGAGAGAGAGAGAGAGAGAGAGAGAGAGAGAGAGAGAGAGAGGAAGATTGGACTATGCTAGCAGCGCATCCGTCCCTTGATCACAATTGGTCATGGCGTTAAAAGTGAGTCAAATTTGCTTTGTGGTGAACCGCATTGCAAATGTAAGTAGCATCTAAACAGCTTTACGAGGCGACATGACAGGTAAGGCAAGCTGACGTCCTTCAGGCGGGTATAGTGGGAAAGTGGCTGTGGGAAACAGGATATCACGCGTAGCTGAACAAATGAGAGATGGCTGTCATACAAACTGTCTGGTATTGCTGAACTGCTAACCAGTGGATGCATTGAACAGGTGTGGTGTGTATCCCAGCGCGCTATTGAACTGAATTTATGGTTTGTGGTCAGAGCTGTGAAAAGTCGCAATGGTACCAGAGCTACCACCCGGTGTATATAGCCAGCACAGCTGTATTGATGGGGTGGCCAATGGCCATTAACGAAACGGTAAAAATGGAGGAATAAAAGCGCTCTATTCTAGTTTTCTGTTTACTTTCGTCGCCTTGCAAATTCAACAGCGTAAAAGCTGTGCTACGCTGCTTTTACGCTGCTACGCTAAAAGTTAATTATTTTACGGGATAATAATTATTTATGTAACAGCATCGTTGCAATTGCAGTTACATTTTCATATTGTTTTCATTACAGTACCTACCTATACATTTATAGCATGCTCGCTAAGAAGTGGCCCGAAAGCTTCCGACCCGACTGTGAAACTGGGATGGGTTTGGTAGTCGCCGAAACAGCTTGGACTGGAGTCATGAGTGACTCTTGAAAAAGAGTTCGATCATGAGTGACTCTTGAAAAGAGTTCGATCATGAAGTGGAATAATCAGCAGAATAGGTGAAAAATTGATAGGTAGGTATGCTTGGAACCTGAAAAAGTCATCGAGAGGGGGAGGGGATAGAGATGCGACTTTGTTCCCTTATTCGTCACTCAAAGACGCATCATACGACATATGTACAATAATGAATAAAATGTAGAGACCCATTTCCTGTCTGTGCGCTTACGCCGCCCTCTACATTCGACGTCAGACCAGGCACCCGCCACCTACCTATACAGACGGTAACGGTTAGCATGCTCGATTTTTTTTTCTACGCATATGACGGATCCCTGATCGATCCCAAATTGTATGCCTCCAAGCTCATTGGCAACTAGAGCACCCCAGGTCACGAAGTTGGTCAAAGGAGGTCATATCGCATATCATTCGATTCGGCAAGTCTTTTCGAGTCCATCGGTGGCTTTCCCGATTCGCTAGCTCATTTTTTTCAAGAGTTATTGACGGAAACTCTTATGACCCTAGTAAGGTCAACAATGCAAAAGTGAAGCATGGAAACTTGCAAGGAGTGCATGAGATCACGATTCCGAGAGGTTGAGACTTGAGATAGGCTGAGATCGTTCCCAGCGCCAAATTAGCAGTTTTCTCCCCTCGCCGAGACGCGTCGAATGAACTATAATTTGACCTTGAAAGGTCAACTTGAAAATTTGACTTCAGGTCAAGGTCATGACCTTACCGGAAAAGGTCATGTCGCATATCAGTCGATGCGTCTCAACAAGACAAACACAATGAGACCATCCCCAGCGTTCTATCTCTTTCCAATCGCGAGATATTGGCAAAAAACTGTTTGCAGCCTCAAGTGACCTCGGATGACCTGTCTAGAGGCTATCAGCAAAAATGACACCTTGGTCATCACGAGTGGACTAAATCATTGTGATTCTGAAATATTTGGACTGTTCCGATGCGTACACACGGATCTAGAGGCATTTTCATTTTTCTCCATTGACTTGTAATGGAAAGGTCACGCCACTGACCTGACCTTAGGTCACGGATATAAAAAATCCGAGATGAACAAATTGTAGGCGCCCATAACAGCATGCAATCCACCAAGTTTGAAACCTTTCTGACAAACACTGCAGGGTGGACATGATTGCAAACTTTTTTTAGGCTTGGTCAGTTAACCCACGAGCCGCTGGGGGGGGGCATAAAGTTGCCCCCCCCCCTTTACGTTTTGTGGAATATCTCCGAAACCTGATGAGCTACGAACGTGAAACTTGGCATAGCTTCAAATGAATACCTAGGCAATGTTTGAGGAAAGTTTGGTGGTTGTAGCATCTAAGATGACGTCACAGTGACGTCATAAAGTTTTGTCGTTTTCCGATATGGACCGTTTCTGATGACGCTGAGCATGAAACTCAACTGTAAATGAACTAGACAGCACCTGCTGTCATCCTAAAACATCTAAGTACACTTTCATCTAGTTCCTAACCAATAATCGGCCCTATATATTCGGTCCCATATACCTGATGTATCGTGAGGAAACTGAGAGTCGCAAATCTATAATTTGACTTATGACGTCACTGTGACGTCATTTCAAATGGGATCGACACCAAATTCGGACACAACCTCGGCTAGGTATTCAGGAAGATGTGTGCAAAGTTTCGCTTCTCTATCTCTTCGCGTTGCGACGATATCGTCGCGGAAGTAAAGGGGGGGGCAACTATATGCCCCCCCCCAGCGGCCGGCGGGTGGCGCGGAGGTCCAGCGGCCGCCGGGTTAACTTGACCTGGTGACATGACCTGACATGACCTGGGGCCAAAATTTCACACATTATCCAAAATTGATGTACCAAAAGCTACCCCAAGCGGCGGGGCGCTACGCGCCGCGGTTTTTTATTCAATTTCACACGCAAAAAACGCGACAGGGTGGTAACATATGCCCCCCCGCCCCCCCCCCACTGGGGCGAAGGTTAAAGTGGTGTAAGCAATACACCGATAAACGGTGGAACGGATCACCACCAGGCACCAAGTCATACTACAGTCGTTAAATCGAAGATTAGCCAAATCAATTGCCCGACATTTCGCTGCACCTGTTTGAGAAAGCTTATACAGCGAAACGTCGGCCAAATGATATGTCTAATTTAAACGTAACGATTTGACGGCTTTTTTTTCCTTTTTTTTCCAATTTATTAACGGCATTATTTGACATTCTTAACATTGTTAACAGGCTCACAAACTGATGTTATACCCCAAAGTATCAATCACATGGCGCTCCGGGCCTTCCAACACGCCAGACCAGCGGCAAAGGCGCTGTCGGCTGGCCCTAACCAGACCCCTCGGCGCTACGTCCACCCACGCACCCGTCACCCCCTCCCCATCCCGGCACCCACCCACCGCACATCGCCAGGTCCCCCCCCCCCCCTTCACCGGTACCCAACCACTGGACACATACGACCGGTGACCCAACGCTCGGCCAGACATCGGGCTGGGCAGGGAACAACAGCAATCAGCCACATATCACACTGTCACACCACATATCACACTTATTTTGTAAATTCACCCATCAACGACCGGCGGCCTAT